CGGACTTTCGTCGCTTGACGATGAGCTTCATCTTCTCCACACGGATGCTTTCGATCTTGTCGGTGAGCTCCTTGATGCTGGCGCCGAGTACGTCCCGCTCGTAGAACAAGTCACGTTTCTTGTAGCCTTCAGTTGACTTGTTGATGGCGACGTTGAGCTCTTTGCGGCGATGTAGAGCCGCTTCCCGTCTTTCGTGAAGATGCGCGACGCGACTTGACGCCTTCATCGCGTGATCGATGGCATGCTCGAAACAATACTGATTGAGCTCGTCCGGCACAATGTCTGCCTTCGCGTTGATGGCCAGCGTAAAACTTGCGATGTCGACACTGCACTGGGCGTCTTGACCGTCGTGTGGTTGCCGGCGGTGTCCACGAGGCAGTTCGGATTCGCAAGTCGAGTCGCGGAACCGAACGCCGCCTTGTTGGACGGAGCGACGATCAAGACGGGCAGCAAGCCTTGGAGAGACGCCGCCGTTTGTCGACGAAGATCCATCGTGCACAGGCAGTTCTCCAGTGCTATAGACGCAGTGGTCTTGCCTGTCCCAGGAGGGCCTTGGAGGAGGGCAATCGGCGCGGGACTGTCCAGTAGCTCCTTAATGGCGATCCGTTGCCCCATGTCGAGCTTGGAAGCGACGGTGCACCAGACGACGCTCGGAAGTAACCAAGGGGGAGTCGGTCGCACTCTACGTTTCGATGTCTTCGTGAGAACAGCTCTTCAGCGCTAGCATGGACGCACCTCCAATTCAATCGCAGCCAACCACTTGTTGGAAAGCGCGCGCGCGCGCGCGGCTTCGGCAACGGCCTTGTTGCTGCGCGCTCGGAGGTCTTGGACAGTTGTTAGTATGCGCGTCGACTATTCCTCGGTACATAAGATTCAAGCATTACCGATATTCGCACGTACAAAGAGCTCACCAAGCGTCATCGCCGTGACATCCAAGCTGCGGAAAATGCCAAGAATATCCTTGTCGGCGGCCGATCCCTATGGGTTGATGTCAGCAGTGGTAGATACAATGGTGTTGATCGCACCAGCGTCATACGCAGCTTTCGAAGGCTCGCATCGTACTTCTTGACGGTGCAGCGAACTGATCCAGCGTGGGTTGGATCCAAAATCATTGACCGTAGCGTCGGCAGGACTTGGCCAAGGGACATCAACGCCGAGTACTCGCGCACATTCGACGTAATGTTGGCCCCTACGACTACTGACCACTTGGTGTCGGCCCGTGGGCGGGCGTCGCCTTCAAGAAGCACAAAAAATCTATCATCGTCCACTTGATCGTGGCCCACAATGACACCAAAGTGCTCCATACGACCACTCTACGCAAAAGAAGCTTCGTAGCCACAAGCACTGCCGCGACGAGGTAGAATACCGTGAGGCGGACGACGTCATGGATATGCAATGGTGCGGGCTTGGTCCATGGCTTCAAGCTGAAGCGTCGCCGCGCAAACCCTTCTGGAGCAATACACTGGAGAGCATCGCATTCTTCCTAAGCCTAAACAATAGAAATTGAAGCGAATCGGTCGGTATGTAAAGGATCATACCCTTGCCGAATCGCGTGGGCGACTTCCGTGATCGTGCCGTGGCGATCATCAGCACTCTCGCCTCGACGCTTGGAAAGTACAAGCCAGTAGGCACGATTTCGTACGCCAAGCTTGAGGTGTGCGTCCACGTACTCAAGCTTGGCGTACGAAATCGTGGCTACTGGCTTGTACTTCCCAAGCGTCGAGGCGAGAGTGCTGATGATCGCCACGGCACGATCACGGCAGCCGCAAACCAAGTGCAAGAGGTCGCGGGCATCGATGGCGAGGATACGCGGATGTTCCCAAGCATTCTTGAGCTCGTGGGTGCAGAGGAGGATGAGACGACGGTACTCAATCGGGGCACCCCGAGAGGATCGCATTGTAGTCGGGCGACATGGGCGCAAAGCACTTCATGCTGCCCGAAAGCACCACAGCCAAGTCGTCTCCGGCAATCGTGTAGAACCCAAGAGTCGCTCCGTCGTAGCTCCAAGGTGGGGGCGAGATACCACGGAGCGAGGACGGTAGACCATACAAACATCTAGTATAAACGTAGAATCGAAAAAGACCTCCACATGTCTGAAGGCACGCAACATTACATCTTATTTTGTGATGCACATCCGACAGCGGTGTGTATATTTGCGTGTTCGTAGCCAAACCCTTGCCGAACCTGCCCCGTGACCGCATGTTTCGCCAGTGACGGCTTGCAGCTGTTTTCAGTGGGAATGCTTCAGCATCTACACTGTACTGAGGCCATTGGGGCAGCTGCCTACCGGTACCATTTTCATACAAGATCTTATTACCATACTATACCGACACGCTAGGCAGACGGGCGCGGACGGTCTTTCACAGCACGCTACCACTTGTGTGTGGCAACTTGGAGGCTGCTCATGATGCTCGCCCGAGCCCGCAGGATTTGTTCTGCGAGGCGAGTCACGGACGCCGCCATCGTCGGCATCTTGGTAACAATACCGCTCTTATCTTCTGGTTCTACAGAGCGCAGAGGTGTCGTAGCCGCAAGGTCGTCGGTTGCCTCCGTCACTGTCGTTCGTCGCGTGAGCGCCTTGTGCACCAATGCTAGGTTCCGCTTGTGCAGGGCGACGCATTGGGCCTTGAATGCAGCGTTGGCTTTGACGTTCGCAGCAGCCAGTCGAATCGCACAGTCAAACTTGACGGCCGCCAGCTGAGCTGCGTGGCGAGCGTTGCAGGTTGAAAGGTCCAGCGACTTGGCGGCGATCCGTCGACGTACCTCGCGCCCTTGGGCTTCCGGGACTCGTGTGGACGGTGCTGTTGCAGAGCGTGTTGGTAGCGACGAAGCGCGCACACGGGACGGTGTTGCGTCCAAGGCAACGACCGACATCGATGTCGCATTCGTCGACGAGTTCCAGCGGGGGCGCACCATGGTTGCTGTAGCTCAATATACACTGTGGTCGAATGAAGCTTTTTCGGGCAGCCGTAAAGGTCATTGCCTCGCTTTTCCTTGGAAAAGGCCTTGGCGCCACCATGTTGCTCCAAGTCGGGCACGCGCTGAGCAGCTGTGTACTCTTCAAAAAAAAACCTGGTTTGCCTCTCGTCCTGTACATGCGGCCGGGCTTCTTGGTGCGGACAGCTAACTCCAAGGCGTCTCTCGTGTTGCCTTAGACATCGGTCGGCTTCTCGGCCGTGATGTTGGGGAACGCGAGTCGACTTCTGCAGCCAGACTGCCTGGAGGACACCGATGGCCGCCGCACGACGATCGAGACGCCAAGCAACACATCGGCTGCCCAGGTGTTCATTCTCTCGCAGGTAGCCCCGAGGTCGAGCCGTTCCATGTGGAGCAGATTCTCGCCCTCCTACTCCTGGACTTTTGCACTATTTGTCAGTAGTTAGTTACTTCAAGAGTGCTCGCTGGAGAGCTGGTCGGGCGAAACGGGCTTAGAGTTCTCCATGGCCGCGTCGCTGGTCAGGACGGCCGGAAGCACCATCGCCGAGGCGAGTGTTTGAACACATATTACGTTCGTGTTGCTCCACGAGTGCTGAAGTGCCGAGGCTACTCACTGGTCGACCAAAATGTCAAGTTAAATCTCGAAAATCGTACAAAGTCGCTAAGTCGCCTACGTGCTTGGCATGCATGAACACGCGGGATTTGCTCAAAACGTAGATCAGCAGTAGATTTCAGGAACAGTTTCAAAGCGTGTAGGACGCCTCGGAGGTCCATGCCTGCGGGTGCTGCCTGATGCCGCGATCTTTGTAGCAGGTCATTTGGCCATTTATCCATTTGCGATGGCAGCTACCGCTTTTGCATCTCGATTGGCCCGCATGCCATACGTTGAGGCCCCCACGTCGTGCCCGTACCGACGTCGGTGTCCACGCGAGTAGCTGAGCGCTCCAAAACTCATTTTTCGCAAAGTTGGGCCGCATAGCGGGCCGATGTAGAGTGCTCTCCATACGAACAAGCCCACATGCGTGTAAATGCAAATACAGACTTCGTGCTGATCAACACTGCACTCCTTCAGCTGGAATGGTTCGAGCTTGTATATTAAGGCATGAAAAGTGGGTGCTGTGGAGGAAAGAGGCGCCTAGTGCTTGGCCTCTTCCGCGGCGTGGTTGACCGACCGCCGGGGTGGCGAGAGCAATTTGCCCTTGGTAGCTTGGGACGCGCGCTTTGGGCTGTTGATTGACGTGTCGAGCTGCACGGCGGTGGTCAAGCGCTTTCGTGGCGTCGACGGACAAGCCTCGCATAGCTCGGTCGCTGGCGTCTCGTCGTCGTTGGTCTCGGGCCCGACGTCGATCTGGAGCGGTGTGAGGCATATGGCCATCGGCGCCTCGACAGCCAAGACGAGGGCCTTGGCCGCCGCTTCGTTCGTTGTCAAGCGCACGGCGTCAGGGTTGGACTTGCAGTGGGCGTTGCTGCAGCGGTCGTTGCCGCAACCGCGCGTGAGGATCACAAAGTATCTACAGCGCCATGACATTCCATCGGCATCTGCAGTAGCATCCTACGCTTCGACGAGGCCCTTGGCGTACTCGTACTCGGGCCGGCGGCGCAGCATGCTTCCAACAAGGCAGCGTCGTATATTTAGCCCGCGGTTATAAGGCTGGCATGCCCGTGGCGGTTGCGCAACAAAAACACACACACGCGCGATGCGAATCGTATCAATGTATCAAGTGGAGACCGATGGTGTCGCGACTACATGTGCGCCATGTCCTGCTGGATCTCTTCGAGCGTCTTGCCCTTGGTCTCGGGCACGTACTTGAACGTAAAGATGAAGGCGAGGACGAGCGCAATGCCAAACGGCACAAACGAGTTTTCGAGCAAATGGTTTTGGAGCATCGGGAACGTGATGCCAATCACAAAGCTAAAGAGCCAGTTGACCATGGTTGCGAGCGCCATCGCGGTCGGGCGCGGCTTGGCGGGAAACATTTCGGCGACGATCAGCCACGGGATCGGGCCGAGACCGATTTCAAAGAACCACACAAAGAGCATGACGCCGCCGACGCTGACCATCTCGTAGTACGGCAGCAGTTGCCACAAGCCGAGCGTGAGAACGACGCACGAGAGGATCATGCCACCGCACGACCAGAGCAGCAGCGGGCGACTACGCAGACGCTTAGACGCCGATCGTAGAGGATGCAATGTACCGGCCCGCCGTGTCCATGAGCACGAGCGCAACGCCCGTCGAAACGACGTTGACGACACCGACAAGCGTCGTGCCAACGAGCGGGTTGGAGAGGTGCACGCCCTGGAAGAACGAGCTCGCGTAAAACATGACGGCGTTGATGCCCGAGAGCTGCTGCGCGATTTGGAGCGTGACGCCGACGATGAGCGGGAAGCGAATGCTCTTGTCGCCGAGAACCTGCCACATGGTCATGCCCGAGTTTTCATTGTCGCTGGCCGAGCAAATGCTGTCGATTTCCTCGTACACGTCGGTCGTGCCGCGCAAGCGGCGCAGGATTTCTAGCACACCGATGAGTGACATGTAGGAAGCGTAGACACCGCACCGGCCGCTTCCTTGGGCTTGTTCTGCGTCAAGAGCCAACGAGGCGACTCTGTCAAGAACGACGCCAGCGCCAACTACATGGCAAGGCTATGAGCCCATCCAACGTCGGCATTGTCGTACCTGCAAGAAGGCCGGGATGATCGTAAAGCCAAACATGAAGCGCCAGCCGGGGTGCGCAATGCCCGTGCTATAGTCCGAGAAGCCAAAGGCCATAATGTCGGCCGCCAAGATGCCCAAGACGACGCCAAACTGGTACCCCGTACCGAGCGCACCTACGTGGAGATCGTTCATGAACAAATGTGCGCTCCACGAGGATGCCACATACCACGAAGGTTGGGCGGCGCGAGCTCGCCAAGGTACAAGGGCACGACGACGCTCACGATACCGGCCGCAAACCCGACGAGGAAGCGGCCGAGGATGAGCCAGTAAATGTTGACCGCGCACGCCATGAGCGCGCCGGAAAAGATAAAGAGGAAGCAGTCCAAGATGAGCGTCTTCTTGCGACCGTACTTTTGGCTGAGGTTGCCGGCGACGATCGAGCCGAGGGGACCGCCAATCGCCCAGACCGAGACGCAAATCGACCACTCGAAACTCTTCTGGTCCGGCGTCTTGACGTCGTCGGGGAAAATCACGTTGGGGTTCAAGGCGCCGGTGACGCCCGTGTTGTAGCCAAACTGGAACGCGCTCATGAGCGCCACGCAGCACGAGAGCAGGAGCGGCACGGTGTAGCCCGGCTCGCCGCGCGTGTCGGGTAGCAACGCCTGCGTTTCGTCGCCGCGCGCGACCAAGTTGGTGATGCTGCCAAAGCTGCCCCACGAGCTCTTGCTCTTGAGGTTCGAGAAGCTGCGCTCGCGCTGAAACGACTGCCGGCGCATACCCGGCAGTGCCATGAACGGCAATTCCTGGTACAGGCGCTTCTGCTCCTCGACTAGCCATGGAAAAGATATGCATCTGCTCGTCATGAAGCGGCGCGTACCGTAGAACTGAAGGTTCTGCGCCGTGTTGGAGCGCTTGCGCATGCCCTCTTCCTTCTTGATCTCGGCCCATGCGCCGGACGTCCCTAGGGACACGTCCGACTGGCTGTGCTGCATCGTCGCCATCGTCCGACAAATCTCAAGTGAGAAAACTTCGCCAAAGATTTCTCGCCGGTTGCCAAGGACGTTATCCGGACTGGCCGCAGACGACCGACGGAATTCGCAAAAACAAGTACATCGTCGTGGCACCAACTTCAAGGTGCCACAGATCCGCCGCAAGTCGGCCTTTTACCGCATTATTACAGCCTATGCCCTCTATATTTTAGAGACAAAGGGATCATCTTCATTCAGCGAAAGCCAGTAGTTTTCCTATAGACGCATCTTCCTTTACATTAAATACAGTGATTCGATGCGAATCGGCGTGTGCCAGTTAAAAGGGCGTCCATCCAAAAACCGATCATAAACACCGCCTTGGACCCATTTAACGCAACGTGGCACTTGCGTGAAGTGGCGCGTGATGCCGCCTCGTCACATCTGTGCCCGTATTCTCGGACGCGCCGAGCGGGCTCGGTTGGCGATTACCTCCAAGTTCTTGGATTGCAATACTAGCAGGGGATCGGCGCACGCCAAGGGACGCGAGATCTGAGGAAGGGATTCGTTTTGTCGAATGTGTACTTGATTAAGGGAATGGCGGCTGCCGTGGCGACGCCTGGGACACGCTCGTGACCAATGCTATCACTGCGGTCGTAGAGGGAAGGACGCTGCTGAAGTCAAGCATTACCGACGGAGCATTACCTCGCTTTAAGAATCTAGTCGCTGGATTTCTGTACGACGCCGATCTCTCTCATGCTGCATCGCTCGATGGCTCGAATGTGTCGTCCGTCTTTCTCGTCTTAGCGTTCGCTCTTGCGGACCACAATGTGCGAGACATGCCCCTTCTTCGTACTCGGTTCTACTCCATTGACGCATAAAAGTCGCCATATTGCACTTGCCGTGCGTACTCGTGCTGTGTGGGTGGAGGTCCGGCTCCAAGAACTTGAAGCTTGCGGGAAACGGCGGGGTCGCTTCGTCGTCGTCCGACTCGTCTGTGCCACCGGGTGCCCACGCGCAATGCTCGGTCGGTGCGTGAAACGGGCACGGCTTATTAAGCGCGTCGTTGGGCACACACTGCCCCGTTTCCTTGTGCTGCAAAAAGTGGCAGCCCGCCTGGAAGCACGGGATCCAGCTCCCGTTCATCGCCGCGCCCATTTGCGCCACTACGCCTCGACTGTCAATCCATGCCATTCGATGGCATTACCTCGGAGGCCACTCGTCTTGCGGTGGTGGTGGTGGTGCAATGGGTGCGCTTGCTCGATCTTCTTGAGCGCTGGAATCGGCGACGTGTGGATCTTGAACGCGCTGTGCTTTTTCACTTGGCGCCGCGACATGAAGAGCGCGTCGGGCCGCGTCTTGTCTTGGTTCTCGTCCGAATGCAAGTACTGCATGCGCGACGCGTACATGAGCGCTACGGCCCAGACTATCAGATCGTAGCGCTTCAATAAGGTCTAATACCATCCGTGCTGTCGAGCGGCTGCGCAAAGCACCCTGCGTTGGCGTCGTCGCCCATGATGGCAATCCAAACGACTGACCGAGTATTCTATCTTTAGCTAACATTCTGGTGCGATGCTATATCCATCCAGCGTTTGATATTCTGTTGCATTATGTGGTATCGGGGGAATGCACTGCAGTGGCGTAAGGCGACTACACCAAAGCTAACGCTTTGGTTGAATGCGGGAGAAGCAATTATGGGAGAAGAAGGCGGTTTTATATGCAGGTGGATGTGCCCTAGTGGCTTACTCTTGGTCGTCGTCGTCGTTCTCGTTCTCGCTGTTGGATTCGTTTTGCGCCTCCTTGAACATTTCGACGGCGGTCGTGTACATGCCAAGGTACATTTCGTCCTGGTACTTGGTCTCGTCGACGCTCGGTTCGTCACGGGCATCAATCTCCTTTTGGATCCACGCTTGGGCGCCGACCGTGTCGAGCCAGACACCAACTATGATCGAGGCTCTTACAATGGGATACGAGGCCAAGGTAAAACGTACTGTTGGTCGCGCAGTACAGGAACGACTCCTCGATCGAGCCCATATCGTACGCCTTGATTTCGTCCACATACTCGACGACGGCATTGAACGACTCGTACCCAGCGATGAACATGGCAATGTACGGGTTCAGGCTCCATGCCTTCTCGAACGCCGCTTGGACGAGCTCCTACACATTTGAATGAGCCACCACTCGGCGACGACGCGTCTGTACCTCGGACGAGCCTTCCTCTTCAAGCACTTCCCAGCTCACGTATTCGATGATGACACGACAGTACTCGAGAATCGCCGTCGTCGTTTCGAACTTGTCCAAGAAGACGCGCGCTTCGTCCGCGCGGCCTTCGTCGACAAGCGCGCACACGAGACCTTCGCGGGCACAGACCGTATCCGTCGGATCGAGCTCCAAGCACGCCTCAAAGTGAGCAATGCCGTCTTCCATCATACCCGCTTGGCACGTGGCCAGCGCGACCTCCTTGCGCAGACTGCAGCGTAGTATGAGTATCACCAAGCCAGCATGGGATTCGTCTGTACCGGAGGTACTCGACCGTCTCTTCGCGCTCGCCAAACTTGCCAGGCATCGTTTCAAAGAGATCGACCGTCTTCTCGGGTGCCTTGAACTCGTTGCCGTCGGCGTCGCACTCGCCGTTGGCGATGCGAGCGAGAAGCGCGGCCGGGCGCGCGGCGCCGCGCAGCTTCCACTCGTGCTGCTGCAGCGGTCCCTTGGCGCGCTTGGCCACCTACAGGCGGCGAAAATATGTGTGTGTGTGTTTACCGTGATGATGTAGGCGTACCTCCTTCTTGTGGATCGGGCAGTTGCGCACAAGCTCGGTTTGCTTGTCGAGCGCGCGCTGGGTCTGCACCATGCGCAGCCGCTTGCGCGCCTGTTTCTTGCGGTCGCGCGTCTGCTGCGCCGAGTTGTTGCGGCGCTCTTGGTACGACTCTTCGCCGCTCTTTCGGCGCGCCTTTCGCCGGCCCTTGCGGAGCTTCTGCTTGAGCACGATGTCCTTCATCTTGCTTGCTTGATGCGTTTGGAACTGGCAGCGCAGGAATTGATTGGCTGTCGATACGGATCGCTGATTGGCTGTGGATTCCGGATACACAATCAATTTCGGATAACAGTAACTCAGCGATCCAGCCCCACAAGCCACGATCCAGGAAGCCGACACGTCTAAATTGGAATGTAATGTCGCTTGTTGCGGTTGATCTCTTCTGCTAAGCAGTTCACATGAAGAGGTCGCTTAACTACTGCCTGCAGCGACACCGGACCGTACCTTGCCTCAACTTGGAGCACGTAGTAGGTCATCTCGCTACAAGCTGAACGCGTCAAGTGAGAGGCAAACGTGCGACGAGGAATTTCTAATGATTGCGTCGAGAAGACCACCGATGACCACGGTACAAAAGAGCTCGTGTTTTAGAGTTGCTGTCAAGCGACTGCTACCAAGTTCACGCCTGTTTTATCGCAGTAGGTCATTATAGCGACAAATCCTAGCATGAAAAGCTAGGCAATACCACGTCCATGACGTGCGTTCTCGCCATGGGTAGAGCAGAAGAAGCGTTAAACGCTGTTTAACGTCGCGGCCGCCAAAGATCTCGAGGCGTTTTCCCGCGGGTGTGTCAAGCTCGCACGTGATTGGCCCGTTTCCGAGCTATTTAAATCCAGCGGCTTGGCCACCGTACACAACTTTAAAAATGGCCACCTGGAACAACGATGTGGTAAGAAAAATAAAATATGATGAATAAAAATCGAACACGAGTAAATTTGTGGGGTCCAATTTGGTTCACACATCTCAAGTCGCAGCCCGCAGGAGAAGCCGAAGCATGGACAAGAAGACCGCCAAGTAGACCTGCTCCATGATGCTAGCATGAAGGCTTACACACCGTAGGTCGCCGGATGCCGGCAACAAACGCAAGGCCGCAGAACCCAAGGCCAAGGCCTCGAAGAAGAAGGTCGAGTCGGAGGAAGATGAGGACGACGACGATGAGGAGGATAACGACGATGAGGAGGATAACGACGATGAGGAGGATAACGACGACGAAGGCGATGACGACGATGATGATGATGACGACGATGCGCCGAAGAAGAAGCGCGCCAAGACCAACGATGATGACGACGAGGATGATGACAATGACAACGACGACGACGACAATGTCAACATCAACGAAGACGACTTGATCGGCGTCGACACTTCCAACATCATTCCCCGTGCGCGGCGGCGTGCTGCGGCGGCGGCCATGGCGGCGCCGATGCTCGAAGAAGAAGATAACGTGGCCGCGCCGGCCGGCGACGACGATGGGTCGAGTGGCGAAGAAGCCGAGTTTTAACGGCGACGCCAATGCACGTATCGATATTATCTCATTGTCTACGTGGCAAAGAACAGCTGCGGGTGCAGTTTCAGTTGCTCGAGCACTTGCGAGGCCACCTTCTGGCGCGCCATTTTAAACGAACCGTCGTGGGCCGTGGCCATCGCCTGGGTTCAACAACGTGAGAGAATGGCATGGATGAACGATGCACCTTGTCGTTGATGACGACGATGACCTGGTGCACGTTGTTCTCTAGCTTCGTCTCGTCGTAGCGGATCGTCGCGCCATTTGCCGCAGCTTCGCGGTTGAGTTCGCTAATAGGATCCCAGTTGGTCGCCGAGACAGCGTACTCAATCGCCAGCGGCAACACCCGCGTGTTGACAAATTCCATCGCACGCACCATGCCCTAATTTTGCGTACTGCAAACCGATTTCCAGGCAGTAACATGCCGCACCTGATCCAGAAGCACGGCGCCAATGAGCGATTCGACTGCGCTCGCGTGGACCGTCTGCCGCACCTTGATAGCTTGCGGCGTCGTCTCGTGGTCGTGCTGGGAGATCGACGTCCCGACAATCATGGCAGAAGGGAGTTTGAGCTGCTCCGAGACGACCTCAAGCACGTGGTTCTTGACGAGCGCCGAGCGCAGCTGTGTGAGCTGGCCTTCCTGCGTTGTCGGGTACGACTGGAAGAGGTACGAGGACGCACAGGCTTGCAGCACAGCGTCACCGAGCCACTCGAGGCTGCGGTTGGCGACGCGGTTGGCGGGAAAATGCGGAATCTTGTGCGAGTCGATTGCGCTAAAGTGCGTGAGCGCGCACTGCAGATGCACGACGTTGTCAAAGTGCCACTCCCACTCGTCCTGGAGCGCGGCCAGCGTCGTGTGCCAGTGGGGCGGCACGGGGATAAACTCCTACGACGTCATAGATAAGCCAAGGCGTACAGAGCACAGTAGAGGAACGTACGTCAAAGTGGCGGGCTTCGACGACTTGCCAAGCAGTGTTCTCGCGTGGGTGCAGGACCGACGACGTGGGCAGAATCATCCGGTGCATGTCGTTGACCGTCACGTTCTTGGCGACCGAGTTGACATGCGCGTTGCGCTTGGTTGACATGTGTGCTACTGGCGGCGGTCCAAGGTGCATGGCCGCCGACGCCTTGCGCCAGCCGCCGCTCTGGCGGCCGAGCGATGGCACGCGGACTCGGGACATTTTCAAAAAAGCGTTGTGGACAACATCCGGATACGCAACGGGAACAATCGCCAGCACGGATTCGACGTGGGCCATTGCGGCGGCTTGGTGGCAGAGAGTACTGCTGGACAGCCAGGCATGGCGTGCTCGTGCGCAAGTACATTGGCCGCGTCACCGTACAAGACAGGACTATGAGGCTATGTACTCTCAGGCGAGAAATCCCGCGATCCTGGCGCTTCGGGTAGCATTCGGCTGGCAATATGGCTGTCGAGGTAATACAATGCACTCGGTACACCCACGAGGAGGTCTTTGCACTAGCAAGACCATAGTCTATGGTCTTGGCTCTAGTGTATGCTGCGAACGTAGTTAAAGCTCGATACGATCCATGCAGCCCTTGACTTGCCTGTCAATCAAGATCAGATCGACGTGCATCATGCGGAGACAGCGCGCTCATGACTGCGTGCATGTATGGGGTGTTGTCGCAGTGACAAGCCCAATAGATCAATATAGCAACATGAGCTAGCGACGTCGATGGCATCCCGCAAGACGGTCTGATGTGGCGGCCTTGGGGTCCTCTGTGGTCCCTGCCACGAATATCCGGATACTGTGTGTCCACCAATCGAAACCCGACCCAATCCGAATTTTGCCAAGCGGTAGGATGATCCTGCAGCGATTCATGATGGCTCATGGCGCTCGTAGATCGCCATGTCGGACATCGAGCAAGCGCCCCCTGCCGCTGCCCCAGTCGAAGCACCGGCTGCTGCCGCTGCCCCTGTCGAAGCACCGGCTGCTGCCCCCATCGAGGCGCCGACTGCTTCCTCCATCGAGGCGCCTTCTGCTGCCGCCGACGTGCTTGCCCCTGCGGAGACGGCGGTGGAATTCGTGGCCAAGCCCGGTGAAGCGGCTGTCAAGCCCGAGTTTCGCCGCGTCTTGCCGCCCAAGACGTACGCGCGCTACGCCTTCATGCATCTGGCTATATGACGAACGGCCTGTAGGGAAGGCGACGACGGCGAGCGCGAGCGTGGTACGTTCAAGAAGCGCCCGCGCGACGCCGCCGACGATCCGTCCACGATGCTCTGCCGTGCGGTGGCCGCTGGCGAGGGCTGTGCGTACAGCGACTCGTGCAAGTTTAGCCACGACGTCGCCGACTACATGAAGCGCCGGCCCAAGGACTTTGAGGGCCCGTGCCCGGTGTATACGGCGCTCGGCTATTGCCGGTACGGCCTCAACTGCCGGTACGGTCTCACGCACGTGGACGCGAACGGCGTGAACCTGGGGACACCGGCCGACGAGAAGACGGTCGAGATCAACGAGCTGGACACAGCGACGCGCGACCAATTGCGCAAGAACAAGTACCCGTTCCGCACGACAGCGGCGTCGCATCAGAAGAAGGGCGGAAGGCCAAGCAAGAACGCAATATTGAGTACGACATTCTCGACAACCCGGAGCCTGCCGAGCACAAGCCCGTGGACTTTAAGGGCAAGATTTACGTCGGCCCGCTCACGACGGTCGGGAACCTCCCGTTCCGCCGCGTGCTCAAGCACTGGGGCGCGGATATCACGATCGGCGAGATGGCCATGGCCACCAACTTGCTCCAGGGCCAGGTACCGCATCCTCGACAAGAAGCATGGGCTGAAGAAAGCTCCTCGTTTAGGCGTCCGAGTGGGCACTGCTGCGCCGCCACGAGTCGGAAGATGTCTTTGGCGTGCAGATTGCTGGTGCCTACGGCGACCAAATGGCGCGCGTGTGCGAACTCATCACGCGCAAGGTACGCGGCGCCATGTGCTACGCTCTATGGACCGCGGTGTGTAGACCAAGGTGGACTTTATCGATATCAACATGGGCTGCCCCATCGACCTCGGTGCGCGTCGCAATTATGTTGTACAGGAAGTGACGCGGCTTCTCCATGTACCTAGTGTGCAAGGCCGGTGGGGGTGCAGCGCTCATGAACCGCCCCCCCAAGCTCTACTCGGTCATCGCTGGCGCGTTGACGGGCATTGAGCTCGGCAGTTTTGGCCTCGCGACTCGCCCGAGCCTCACGGTCAAGATGCGCGCGGGTTGGTCCGAGAAGACGCCGGTCGCGCACAAGCTGTTGCCCAAGGTCCAGACGTCCATCTCGAGCAACGAGTTTATGAACCAAAGCGTCGTCCTCAACTACGCGCTCAAGACGGACGCGCACGTGAATGCGCTCACGGTGTGTACCACTGCCGATACGAGCATATTGGATTGACGGGCCTCGCAGATCCATGGCCGGTCGCGTCTCCAGCGCTACACCAAGAACGCCGACTGGGTCTATGTGGCCGAGTGCGCCGACACGCGCGGCGACGACAAGACGATGCAGATGGTCGGCGGCGGCGACGTGCTCTCGTACGAAGAGTTCCACGAGCACCTCCAGTCGGGCCAGATCGACACGTGCATGCTCGCCCGGTACCGCCACACACATCTCTGCACCTGATACGACATGGATCTTAGTGGCGCGCTCATCAAGCCGTGGCTGCCGACCGAGATCAAGGAACGCCGCCACTACGATATCTCGTCGTCCGAGCGGCTCGATATCCTCAAGGACTTTGTCAAGTGCGGCCTCGAGCACTGGGGCTCGGACGCCAAGGGCATCAACCGCACGCGCCGGTACTTGCTCGAGTGGATGTCCTTCCTCTGCCGCTACGTGCCCGTCGGCATCCTCGAGAAGCTGCCCCAGCGCATCAACGATCGTCCGATGCCTTATGTACATGCGCCGTCGTCGTCGTCTTGCGTATCGTTGTCACTAGTATGGCCGCAACGACCTCGAGACGCTCATGGCGAGCGACCAAGCGGCCGACTGGGTCAAGATCTCGGAGATGCTGCTTGGCCCTGTGCCCGAGGTACTTTGCTTCTCGCATGTTGTCTCTTACTCAGCCTGTGCGTGCAGGGGTTCCAATTCGTGCCCAAGCACAAGGCCAACGCGTACGGCTAAGCAGCCATGGCCTCGTTTCTAGTCGCCGATAAGCATCTCCATACGACTGTACCTACATCATTCTTGCATGACCCTCGCGTCGCCCAGAAGCCATGCCATGCGCGAGGACCGATGCTGGGCAGACAGGTCGGGCGGGTCTGGCTCGTTCATGCTGGCAACGCTGTCGCTCCGAAATTATCAAGCATGTTCTGTATTCTATTCCATACAGATATTTAGTGGAGCGGAATAAAAATAGTGGTATACAAACGCCAAGCTCTATTTCTGGTGTGATTGAACGGGAGCAGTGGTTCAAAACATCCTCGGGGGTACGATGGCCAAGAAGATCGAGGAGAGCTCCAGCGGGGAGAGCGGCAGCGAGAGCGAGAGCGGGTCGGGCTCCGGCTCCGGCAGCGACTCGGGCTCGGGCAGCGACAGCGGGTCCGGCTCCGACAGCGACAGCGACAGCGGGTCGGGCTCTGGCTCCGGGTCCGACTCGGGGTCCGGCTCGGGTAGCGACAGCGGAAGCGACAGCGACGGCGAGAAGAAGAAGGACAAGTCGCCCGCCAAGGCCAAGAAGGAGACCGCGAAGGCAGCTGCGAAGAAGTCGCCGCAGAAGGCCAAGGCCAAGAAGGCCACGGGAAAGGCCGACGCGGCAGTCGTCGACGAGTCCAAGATGGAAGAGATCGACCCTGAGAAGCTCAAGGGTCTCAATGAAGTCGAGAAGGAAGCGCTTATCTTGTACGTCATGCATGCACGAAGAAGAAGATGCGAAGCAGGGTATACTGACATGCTACGATATAGGGAGCACTACGAGTCGCAGACGCAAAAGTCCAAGGAAATCGCGCTCAAGCGCAAGCTTGAGAGCGAGAAGGAAGCCCTTGATGACGACAACGAAGCAATCTCGAACCGACGACTGCGCAACCGCGATACGGACCGTCGCAAGGAGGCTCTCTCGAACTTAAGCAGATCAAGCAAACGGAGAAGGGCGGCAAGTCAATCCTTCGCAACCGCTTCAAGGACGACGACGAGGACGACGACGGGTTCCGCTCGGATGGGTCCGACGCCGGCCGCGAGATTGCGGAGAAGCGACGCCGTCGCAAGGAGCTGCAGCAGACTGGCAGCCACAAGGACGAGTCGCGGTCGTCGGACAAGAAGGCGTCCAAGAAGGCTTCGACCGACGAAGTCAAGCTCCAGGAGATTGATGTCTCGGGTCCCATCGACCTCAAATATGCCAACTCGGTAGGAAGCCATGACGCTCTTCCATGCTCACGACGATGCATGTAGTGCCTCCACAAGCGCCGCCAGTTTTTCGAAAAGCACTACTTTGAGCCGTACTTTGAGAAGATCATCAAGGGCGTCTACTGCAAGGTGGCGCTCGCAGGCGAGGACGACGAGCGCGTGTACCGTTTCTGCCAAGTGCTGCACACGTGCAAGATGGAAAAGGAGTACATTTTCATGGGCGAGGCGACCAAGACGGGCGTCATGCTCGCATACGGCAAAGACACGCGCGCGTGGCGCCTTGATCTCATCTCGAACCACTCGGTGACGGAGCGCGAGTTCCTCCTCTGGAAGTACACGGTGCAGAAGGTGAACCTCCCGATCATGACGCAAATGCAAGCCAAGAAGTTCTACGCGGTCAACAAGGCGATCGCTACGATGCACAAGTACACGGACGAGCAGGTGACGACGATGGTGACGCGCAAGAAGGCGGCGGGCCAGACCAAGGTCGCTCTCGGTGTCGAACGCGTCCGCCTCGAACGCGACGTCAAGGCCGCCAAGAACAGCAACGACTTTGAGAAGGCTCTGGCACTCGAGGACCGCCTCAACAAGGTCCTTGCCGAGAACAAGAGCCGTCTCGCGGTCAAGGCCGACGAGGTCCAGCGCATCAACGAGATCAACAAGCGTAACCGCGAGATCAACCAGCGCCGCGACCTGGATGCGGCGGTCACGAACCAGCAGCAGATGGACAACATGACGGCGGCGCAAAAGCTGCAATACGTCCGTGCGACAGCATCCCGACGCATGTTCATGTCGCGCGACAAGATGGAGAAGAACCTTGCCGACGGCAAGCTCCTTCGCATGCCCGATGGACGCATCATGACCGTCAACAAGCTTCAGGAAGTCGAGGCACTCCCGGATGACATGATCCCGGAAACAAAGGCCAAGAAGCAAGACAGTGGTCACGACGGGCTTGTTGAGAAGATCAAGGAGCGTCAGGCGCGCGCGCTCGAAGACGAGTCCAAGCCCGACGAGGCGATGGCAAACGACATTGAGTTTGTGGATGGCCAGCCCGTCGACGTCACAGATGTGGCCAACCTCACGATTCGCTACAAGGACAACGACGGAACGTGGACGACGATGCGGCCGGCCGCCGAGATTCTCAAGGAGAAGGAGGCCAAGATCCGCCCCGTGATTCCGGAAGCCGAGAAGGTCCAGCGCAAGGGCCTCACGATGAAGGAGTATTTTGAACGCGTGAAGCGCCGTGCGGCTGAAGACGGCCAAGGCGACAACAAGCACCCACGGCATAGTTAGGCTTCTCAACTTTGCCACACACTTCGCATTGTACTATGGCGTCTATCATCCAATGCCCTTCGTCTGTATTGTTGCTTGTATCTGCTCTGCGACCAGGACCCGTCTGGGATACGAAAGCAAGTGGGTGTGATTGCCGAAATGTAAAAAATAATCTCGAAAATCGCGAAAATGCAAAAGTGTGCAGAGTCGCGTGCCCCGTGCTTGGGATGAGCACGTGGGATTTGCTCAAAAAGTAGTCCGACACTAGATTTCAGAAATAGCTCCAATGCGTTCAAGATGGCTCGGAGGTTCATGGCTACTGGTAATACCTGCTGCCCGCGGCCTTGTGGCCGACGTTTCGACCACCGAGTTATTGGCGATGGTACCGCCTTTCCAATCTCTCAATTAGCTGCCATGCCACACGTGGAGGCTCCAGCGATGTGTCATTGCCGACGGCGGTGTCAACGCGTGTCGCCGAGCGCTACAAAACTCATTTTTCGCAAAGTTGGGCCGCGTAGCGGGCCGCTGCAGAGTGCTCGTCCATACAAACAAAAGTTAATACAGACAATTCGATCACTACAGATCGAAACAAGATGTATTGATTGATTTGGTTTGCACGGGCCACCCCATTAAAGCTCAAGCCTGGACATTCGCAGCGTAAAAGACAACTCGTTCACACATTGTATGAAAGTGAAGATGACAGAGACTCAATTGGCTGCCATTTGAACACATATTGCGTTCGTGTTGTTGTCCATGAATGCCGGAGTGGCGATGTCACAGGGCGGTCAAAGTATTAATTTCAATATCAATTCAATTTTCGAAAATTGTGAAAAAGAGAAAGTGTGCATGCAGTATAGAGTCGACAGTAAAGTCGCGTGCCGTGCTTGGGATGCATGAGCACGTGGGATTTGCTCAAAAAGTAGTCCGACACGAGTTTTCCAAAATAGCTCCAATGCGTTCAAGATGGCTCGGAGGTCCATGGCTACTGGTAATACCTGCTGCCCGCGGCCACAGGGCGGATCTTTCGACCACTGAGTTATTGGCGATGGTACCGCCTTTCCAATCTCTCAATTAGCTGCCATGCCACACGTGGAGGCTCCAGCGATGTGTCATTGCCGACGGCGGTGTCAACGCATGTAGCCGAGCGCTACAAAACTCATTTTTCGCAAAGTTGGGCCGCGTAGCGGGCCGCTGCAGAGTGCTCGTCCATACAAAAAAAGTCAATACAGACAATTCGATCACAACAGATCGAAACAAGATGTATTGATAGATTTGGTTTGCACGGGCCACCCCATTAAAGCTCAAGCCTGGACATTGGCAGCGTAAAAGACAACTCGTTCACACATTGTATGAAAGTGAAGATGACAGAGACTTAATTCGCTGCCATTTGAACACATATTGCGTCCGTGTTGTCCATGAATGCCGGAGTGGCGATGTCACAGGGCGGCCAAAGTATCAATTTCAATATCAATTCAATTATCGAAAATTGTGGAAAGAGATTTTGCAACCTTCTCAAATCGCTGTAATATTTTCAGGGACGCTTTCTCTAGCTCGAGAGAGGCTGTATGCCGATGATCGTGGCTATCAAAGGCCTGCAAGTATTTGTTTTGAAACTCGCCAACAATTCTATACTTTAAGATGAAAGGAATATAGGTACACCCTCCTCGAATCACCAAGCTCGGACAGGCAGGAGGCGTGTTGAAGATTTGCCACGCGAGTTGCGTGTGGCTAGTCTTTGGCTTGCCTCTGATTGGCGGATTGGTAAATACAAGCCAGGATATGCTCGCCTCCAAGCTGCGCCGGTGCTTCTCGACCGAGGCCGCAACGAGCGCGCTCCACACGCTCTTCGCCTCGGTGGCGGCCCATGAGGTAGCGTGCCCATACGAATGGCGACTAAGAAGACACACAGATGTCGGCCGACGACGCCATGGCGCAATGGCGGCACGTCGAGTACGATGCGCTCGAGGCCTTTGCCAAGATCGACGGGCAGCGAGCGGCGCGGACGGGCTTCCCCGAGGTCGTTTACGCCGAGGGCAAGACGTCTTTGCAAGTAGCCTCGATCTTACTAGCGATGCAAAAGTCCACTGACGTGGTCATGGCCACTCGCGTCAGCGCCGCGATGGCCGCCGACGTCCTCGCTGAGCCTGGCCTCGAGGTACCGGCGTCTCTCTTCGATTCGTGCGCATGTCTTCTTGACTTGTAGCGTCTCGAGTACAACGCGGTGGCTCGCATTTTGGCCAAGCCCATTGTCGAGGCGAACCGCCCGCGTCTCAACAAGGTCGTTGTTGCAGTGCATACGCGCCCTCAATGATGTTGCACAGATTGTCTGCGTCTTGTGCGCCGGAACTTCCGACTTGCCCGTCGCAGAGGAGGCAGCCGTGACGCTCGGTACGTCATCGTCTTGACCTCGACCCAAGAAAACGATGAACGCGCAGAGCTCGCGGGTCTCGACGTGCGGCGCATCTATGACGTGGGGGTTGCCGGTCTGCACCGACTCTTGCGCCACCGCCGCGCAGTCGAGGACGGCGACGTCATCATCGTCGTGGCCGGCATGGATGGAGCACTGCCGGGTGTCGTCGTATGCATCCTTGTCTTGCTTGTTGTTGTATGCAGCCAAACGAGCAAGAATTCCTGGCGCTAGGGAGGTCTGACGACCAAGCCGATCGTTGCCGTGCCCACCAGCGTCGGGTACACCTGCATGTACCTTGCCACACTCCTCGAGAAATATGTACAGGTATGGCGCAGCATTTGCGGGGCTTGCGCCGCTGCTTACGATGCTCAACGCGTGCTCGCCGGGCGTCGGCGTCGTCAACATCGACAATGGATTTGGCGCCGCCGTACTCGCCCGTACGCTCTCTGCGCGAAGAGCTGGTGTTACAACCTTCTCGGACCTCTAGATCGCATCGTCGCTGCGCACCCCAAGACGCCATCGACGTAAATGCACAGGCACATCACGTTGATGTTAAAAAATGCAAAACGACGTGTACATATAAAAGCACAGGTCGGCTTAGTGCGAAAAGATGTCGGGCATGCGCGAGCCCGCAAACGTGTTGAGGTAGGCGTACGCGTGGCGCGGGGGCGCGGGGGGCTGTTGAAGGCGCTCGGAGAGTGGCGCCGCGTTCGGTCGTCCGATCGGACAGAACGAGTCAAAGCAGCTGGGAAAGTGCGACGCGAGGTCGTCGGGCTTGAACGGGCCAAGGCCGCACAAGATGCAGTGGTTCGTGCTGGGGAGGGCCGCTGCCGTTGGCGAGTGAACAACGGGGCAGCTAATGTCGCCGATCTGGATCGACGAAGGAGGGGCTTGGATGGACTTGGTCATTTTGAAAACTGAGCTCGAACCACACCTGCGCAGCAAGATCCGAGCCGCGGCCTCTCATTGGCTGGAATTTAGTCGACGGCGACATGCGATTGGCTGGATTTACAAGCCAGGCAGAAGGAGGCGGCAGATCGAACACGGCTGTGATAAAAGCGCTGCCACCGATTGGCGCTGTGACAGAGGAACAAGACGTGCCGTGCTTGCGCCAGCTCATCATCCACTGCATGTCTCGCAATGTGGCGGCTCGTACCGATATGGTCTCCTACCTCATGAGCTCAAAGAGACTCTGTAGTTCTCTCGCGATCTTACTGTACGAGTCTCTGGCCTGGCACGCTGCCCATTCCCGTTCAAATGCTTTCACAAACAGATCCAAAATTGGAATGTGTTTTTTGCGATCTTCAACGTAACCTCCTGGCATAGCTTCTGAAGCAGGCCTGCAATCCAGGCAAGTGCGAGTAGCTGGAGCAAATACTCATGATATGTGGCTCTAGAGCGGAAGGGTCTACCCTTTGGTAGATGTCATTATATACTTGGCGAGATGTACAAACGATTGCCGCGTCGCAAAGCCTATCTTGGTGTTCGAAAAGAGACTTATTGGATCGCAACAAACCGATGCTTGGACTTGTGTTTGAATCTTGGTGTTTCAAGAATGAACGCGAGATTCATTTGCCGTACGTGGCGCCGCGGCAGCGAATCTCGCGTGAAACTGCAGTCGCTCTGGACTGCGTTGCTGCGACGCAGTCGCCAGGATGCTCCGTCGCCTTCACACGCACGGCCAGCGCCACGCGCTGCGGCGCTTGGAGCACGCGATGCGTAGCGACCGACTCTTGTTGGTCCACCCCCAGCACACGCTCGAGCCCGCGCCTCGTGACGCACTTCGTACGAGAATGCTCCTCGCGGTGCTCGGCCTTGGCGCGCTGCATACGACGTTGAGTCTCGACGATGAGCGACCGCCTTTGTGGACCACCAAGGACGCGCCAGCTGTCGAGACAACCCTATCGTCCAAGAAGCCGTCGATCTTGATCGTCAACGACAACCTCCCAACCAACGTCAACGGTGTTGTGACATTCCTGAGCAACATGGAGCGGCACGCGTCCGCGTACAACGTCTCGTACTTGAACCCGTCGCAGTTTCCGCACATCGACTGCCCGGGCTACCCCGACATCAAGCTCTCGCTGCCCTTGCGCTTGGCCTCCAAGCTCCGGAGCCACCGACCCGACTTTATCCACATTGCCACCGAGGGCCCGCTTGGCCTCGCGACGCGACTCTACTGCGACTTGTATCGGATCCCATACAACAGCGCGTACCACACGCGCATTCCAGAGTACATGCACGTCGTCTTTGGCGTCCCAGAAGCGATTGGGTACTTGTACCTTCGCTGGTTCCATCGCAATTCGGCCGCGGTGCTCACGACGACCGACACAATGGTGCGTGAGCTGCGTCGACGCGGCTTCAAAAGCCCGATCCAACCCATGAAGTTTGGTGTCGACCGACGTCTCTTTCGCGCCGACCTGCGCCGACCACGCGAAACAAACGCCAGCGGACCGATCCTACTCAGCGTCGGCCGCGTCAGCAAAGAAAAGGGCCTCGACGCCTTCTGTGACCTCGACTACCCCGGTGCGACCAAGATCGTCGTTGGCGACGGCGCATACCGCAGCGAGCTCGAAGCGCGGTATCCCGAGATTCAATTCGTGGGTCTCAAAACCGGAGACGCGCTCGCCGAGTATTACGCCAACGCCGACGTCCTCGTCTTTACGAGCCGCACCGACACGTTTGGCCTCGTCATGATCGAGAGCCTAGCGTGCGGTACACCGGTCGCGGCGTTTCCGGTGCCTGGACCGTTGGACGCGATCGAGTGCGGCGTCACGGGCCATTTGAGCGAGGACCTGCGCGCCAGCATTGACGTTTGCTTGGGCTTCGACCGAGCGGCTGTGGCGGCCGCGAGCCAAGTGTGGTCCTGGGACCACTGCTGGGCGACGTTCGAGAAGCACTTGGTGCCCTCAGATAGCTAAGTCCGATGACTTTTGTCAAGTTTTATAACAAGTGCGTCTACACGTAGTGTCGGGTTGTTGGTCACGCGAAGATCGCAACGCTTTCGCGCCTCGAAACGGCCAATATCTTTGAGTGTGTATGCTATACAAACATCAAGAGGACAGTATCTGTTTGAATTAGCCAATCACATCGCGTGACGACCGTGTTCACACTATTTGGTCCAGTTTGCAATGACGTCCAAAGAGGCCGAAGCGGCCCAGATCATCAACGCCAACCTGAGCAGCGACGAAGCGCAAGCTCCTTCGACCAAGTCGCCGCTTGCTCTGGGCCGCGCTGAGAATCTTGCTGCTCCATGTCACTGCTTGTACGCTGAAGGCCATCGCTGCGACGCATGCAAGGACGCCGAGAGCGAGCCAAGGATACCAGCATCAGCGTACGAAGCGATCTGCCGTCATGACCGCCCAGAGCCAGACCCACAGGACGACTTTGTTCCAGCCACGTACTACAATCTCTCGCCGCGCAATTGCCCGAGCCACGAGGCCTTGGACTTTGTGGTTGCCTCGATGCACGATCCAATACCCTACTACCACCACGCTGCGTGCTGCGACCGCAACGAGCACGCGACCTTTGTAGCTGCCTCGGCGTTCGAACCAGCACCCTACAACCACAGTGCACATTCGGCGTGCTGCGACCGCAACGAGCACGCGACCTTTGTAGCTGCCTCGGCGTTCGAACCAGCACCCTACCACAGTGCACATTCGGCGTGCTGCGACCTCCTGACCTTTGTAGAGCCCTCTTCGTCGCCACGCGGCGTCTCCTCCGCACCATAGAGCCATAGCGATTCCTTTTGGCGTATATTTAATACTACGATGACGACGACGACGCGCCGCCCGGCTGATAGAGCGCACAGTCCTGGAGGCAGTGGGCCGCGATGCTATCAAAGAGCCACTAGAATGGGTGCATGAGTGTCCAGGCGCATACAATATGAATCGTACTTTGGGCGTGACGCACGACACGTTGGCTTGCGCCGCCCGTCGGTTGGGCTCGTAGCAGATGCAGTACTGCGCTTGCGACACGTTGTTGCAGACCTACCGATATGCCATCGATCAATGCGCAGCATCGACGGATGTCGTCCAACCTTGCCACCGGCGGCCGTGATGAGGCTGTGCAAAATCTCCTTGGGCGGCTCCATCCGACCGGCGGTCGCAATGCTAAAGAGGATACCGTCGAGGATGCCGCCTTGGCTTGTCGTCGACCCCGCGCGCTGGTTGTACGGCTCGAGGAGGTAGTCGGCTTCGGGCAGCCACGTGCCCGCTTCGAGCGACGCAAAAACCCACGCATCCGAGACGATAGACGCGCCGCGCGCAATGCCAAAGAGCACCTTCATTGTGCGCTTGGACGCGTCGGTTGCGATCACGTGCGTCATGGCGACGTTGGCGTCGACGATGCGGGTCGTGAGCTGCTTGGGGCACTTGGCATCAATGGCCGCGATCGTCGAGACAAGAACCTGCCGCGACGCCTCGTCCGCTCCGCTGATGGCGACGAAAAACCGCTTTGGACGGGTCTACGCACACGATCGAGTGTGTCCGATGGCATCGTTCGTACCTCTGTCTTCTCCTGCGATGCCGTGGTCGTCTTCTTGGTCGCGACGACCTTGGTCTTGGTCTTGGTGGTGTTTGCGGCGACAGACGTGACCTTTGCGGCGACAGGCTTGGCGGTCTTGACAGCCTTGCCTTTGCCAGCGGCCGCAGTGGATGCCGGAGGGTCCGCTGTGAGCTTGGCCTTGGTGACCTTGGCCTTTGACTCTGGCTCGGTTGCCGACTGCTTAGCCTTTACCTTGGTGGTGACGGGTGTCTTGGCCTCTGTCTTTGTCTTGGTTTGACTCGGCTGCGACGAAGGCGTCGCATTGGCAGATGTGGTCGCAGCCTTCTTCGTTGCGGGCTTCTTGGAGACTGTTGGTGTCGCCTTTGGTGATTTCTTGGTTGAGGCCTTACTCGCGGCTGTGGTCTTGCTGGCGGCCGTCTCCACCGCGGCCGGCGTCGTCGAGCGCGTGATCGTCGTCGAGCTTCTCGTTTTGGTCTTGAGTGTGACCTTGGAGAGGGACTCCTTGAGCTCACTGAGTGGCGTCACAGAGCTCGAGGGCTTTGGCGCTGTGACGGCGACCGCTTCGTGCTTTGCGCCGCAGATCCCGCAGTGCGGTGCGGTCGTCGGGTTCTCGAACGTGCACTTGGAACACGCCCACACGTTGACCTTTCCAGCGCACAATGAGAGGACGCTGTCTGCATAGACGGCGGTGGTACCTTGGGCTGCACGCGGGCTCGCTTCAGCGGCGGCTCGTCGACCACTTCCTCGGTCACCGTGCCCATGAGATCGTCGTCTACAATGCATCGTTTGCCGGTTTCCCTCGCAAGAAAGCAGCTGCACCATCTGAGAGCGGGTCGTCGCGGCTGAGCTGGAGCTGCTTGCGCTTTTGCGTGCTCTGCGGTTGGCGCATATAGGACGGCGTCACAACCTCGAGGCTCTATCGTGCCAGTGTGTCCTGGCGATCCATGAGCCATGTCTACATCATACCTCTCGCTTTTTCTTTCGCGGTGTCATCGTCGACTCGTCAAAGACGTCTTCGGCGCGAGGCTCCATCATGCTGCTGCGGCGCCGATTCTTGGCCTTGAGCGCGCCGGCTGGCGGCGGCGGCTCGGCGGGAAAGAACTTGGCCTCGGGCACGCGCGAGGCTGTCTTGACGCACGCTTCGACCCAGAGCGGGCCCACGAGGAGCACGTCCGTGCGCTTGAGCGTGGCGTCCCGCACCGCGCGCTTGCCGTTCACCTCCGACGTGCGTCGTCTCCTTGCCGAGCCGCTTGACGAGGCGCGCGCCGAGGTCCGTGAGCTTGCGCCCGACCTCGCCGGAGCAATCGACGTCCGTATCGCCCGTTATCATGTGGACGTCTACCAGGCAGCGCAGGCCCTTGAGGATCGCGGACGACGCTCCAGGCATTTCGTATTGGCCTCGGCGAAGGAGCTATCCGGATAATGTGGCCCGCGCGGCAAACCAGGAAACCCCGGGAAGTTGGGACTTTGGGTTTTTCCAAAAATCCCAGTCGCGCCTTGGGATAAACCGGACGAACGTGGTGGGAAACTTCACACCGAGATCAATCATCCCGGGCTCCGGCAAGCGTGAGCATCAGCCGCCTTCTTTACGCTCGCAACTACCTCAGAGCCCGTAGAGCTCTCGCAATTATATAGATACCAACAGTTTGCTCATGGCCAAGGTAACCAACCTACGAAATGCTGCCTCCGTAAAGCACCGCGCGAGAAGTCGACTGCACCCGCTGTCGCGAGCGTCGGCGTCGGTCGCCTGGAGTGCTGACCGAGCTCACAGCTCACACACCAAGGGAATAGTGTCAGTAGACCGTGCTTTCGATGATGTGGTTGCACTGGTGACCAGCTGTCAAATTGACATCGGCTTCTTGCGAAACCTTCGGCTAGCTGCCACAAGGGCAGCGCAAAGCCTCATAAAGAGTACATTCACGTGGGCGCGTGCCAAGCCTGTTGTTTGCGTGTTGCAAGAGCTCATCGCAGCTCTTGGTGCGCTCCTTCTTTGTGTGGCGACGATCTGCGACAGCAATCGAATGTGAATCTCGGACGGCGCTCTGAGACGGGTGGCACTGCGCGATCCGTGGTGTGCAGGTGCAGCGTTTGTCCTTGTCCTCGTGTTGCTCGGTCCCAGAAAACAGAGCGCGCTGGAGTACATAGGTACTCGACACCGTACTAGGCACGTGCTGGGATCCAATCCAAACGACTTCACCGGCGACGACATCAATCTAGGTACAGTCGCGAGCGTGCACGAAGTCTGTAGGAGATGCAAGGTGACACCAAGACCAGTGAGATGTGGAGTTGCCGGCATGGTTCTAACGACGATCATGGTGCTTGATTAGGGGTGCGAGGGCGGAAAGATAATCACGCAAGCGAGTTCGATGATACTTCCGAGCTCTGTCGCAGGCTCACCCTAGCGCCTCTAATAGCACCGTACGTTCGTCCATGCATCTTTGAGCCAAAGCGATGAGGCGTCTTTACGCCCGTCCAAGACGAACGCATCAGATTTCCCATGGCTTTTGCCGACCAACCCAGGGACTCTGCGCTGACGTCGCACACGATGCTGTGCAACGTTAGCTGCAACCGGTGTCTATGTACGGTTCGTGGCACGTCGAAGTCCGAAGCTCAAAAGGCGCGTGCCAGCATGTTCACGCAGCCTAATCGTAGTAGGTGATCACACCTTCGAGGCAGGACTGACGCAACGGGTCGCTCGTTCGCCACAGACTACGTCGACGACTGCCGAGACCTCGTCGACCACCGACGCCTCTTCCATTATGAACAAGAGACGACAATGTGAATGGTCTTTCGTGCACGGTTCAACTTGACGCGAAGCGAGCACATACACGTCCACAGTACGTACAGTCATCTTTTGGTCCAAGCTTGGGACCTCGGATTCACCATGTGACGGGAGGTTAGTCAAGGTCGGAAAAGTAGATGCGACTGGGTGCGGAAATAATTCTACACCATGAATCAAAGGGGTTTTACCATCAAGCGCCCACCCAAGAAACCATGCGCGCCTTCTTCGCGTCGCCCGTGGCATTTCAAACTACTACTGTACGACGTCAACTCCTTCAATAAAATCTGATAGTTTCACAAGCAACCTTGTCGCCACACTCGGAGGCTTAGCAGCTACCGGGTACTAGAAAGCGTACGACAGGTTGGCCATGTTATTGTTTAAAGTGTGCACGTGTAAACTGTACCCGTCTTTGACCTGCATGTACAACATGCCGTCGCGAAGAAGTCTTGGTCGTGACGACTCCAATCCATCTCGTCCACCTGGTTTTAGTCAACGATCGACTAACCGGCCGTTGGGTCACCGCTTTACCACCAGAGTGTGATGCGCAACCAACAAGGAGGAACTAAACTATTCCCTCTTTTCTCTGCTTGTACGCATTGGTTTCCCTACAGCCCGTTCCTTCTGCAGTCCTCGGAAGCCACGCGCAGATCGCATTTCCGCGATGGTTGGGACGAGTGCTTGTACCGAGCCTGCATCCAGGGGCCCTTTCTATTCGCCGTTGCGATGAGGCACGACCGCCAACCGAAGCTTCACCGAAGATTGCTACAGGGTGAGGGCGTCAAGGCCATCATCCATACAAAGAGGCCGTATACAGTTTTTATACCTAACCGCACACACTCTGGGGGTTAGCAAAGGCGCGGAGAGCGTTGGTAGTCGCGATGCATCTCGCGCCAGCTGGTGGCCATGCGCCATGTCGAATGGGGCGCCAATACAACTTCAACGAGTGCCGATGGCTGGTTGCATCGTCAGTTTCCAATTTGCGCGATCGACCTCAAAGCATGTTTGCCACTTCGAGTCTGCCCGACGACCACGACAGTCACTTGTCGCACGACGACGAGACCGCGTCGAGCTCGGGCGTCAGCAGCGTCGCCAGTCCCGAGCGGAAAGCGCGCCGCCGCCGCCGCGTGCTCACCAAGGAGCAGCTCGAGCTGAACCGGGCGCGGTCCCGCAAGTACTACGCCCGGAACCGCGACGTTGTCCTCGCCAAGCTCCGCGCACAGTACGTCGAGAACCGCGAGAAGGAGCGCGACCGCCAGCGCGACAAGTACCTTCGCAACAAAGCCCGCAAGCTCGAGATGAAGAAGCTCGCCGAGTCGGCGTCGACCCCACTGAGCCTTGCCTACATCCTCAACTAAATTGCCGCGTCCTTATCTATTATTTAATACGACAAATCCTCCCAACCACGTCAACAAAACCAATATTGCTGACGACGCCGAGGCATCGAGTCTTCATCTCTAAGAGCTATGATGACAAGACGACCGCGGACAAGACGACCGCGGTCGTAAGCATTCTCGTTTGCGCTACGACCTTGGAACGACAGACAGCCTATATGTATGCACTCCCATGGAGCTCTGATTCGAGATCGGCGTCGTCCTGTTGTGCGCGATTACGCAAGAAATTGGCGGCCCATGTCTTTGCGTCGACGACCACAATGCTCGCCCCGCTCCAGCGCCAGCCACGAGCGAGTCAGGCGCGCCATAGACAGTCCATAAGATTCAAAAACGATCTAGTAGAGCGAGCGACTAGAGAGCTCTACACGGTTCCCGGTCTTCGTTCGGACCTTTTGTGTCGCGTGGACGGGGTGGTACTCGTTTCGATTACGAGATCAGATCGAGTGTGTGGCCATCGTTGGGTCCCACAAAATCCCAGCACCAAAAACGACTTGCGCAGCACGCGATGGGTGGACGCGTGTATTGCACTACATGGGAGCGTCTCGAGATCACTCGGCGTCGCCTTTGCATCCTTTGCATCCTTTGCTAGCTGAGTGGTATCACGCGTCTGGTGACCCAAAAGTTGTGCACAAGACTGCTGCCCACCCACCGGCAATAACGTCCGCTCGTTAGCACTGCGTCGGTGTGAATGCGTCTGTTCGTATTGATGGTCCGCTGCAGGAAAACACGGCTTCCGATCAAGGTCAGTTCTCCACGCGTCGGGTTCTTAGCACGTGGCTATTTTCTGGGGCACTTTTGATGGTGCGGTCAGCATTCCTTGCACCAAATGTAACTTCGCGCCAAAACCGCCTGCCGATGCGCCACCGAAGATTGACTGCTTGAGGGCCGTAGAGGTGGCGACGAAGAAGAGGCCAAGGTGCACGACTTCAATCCGACGCTACAACGAACGCTAGGTCAAGTAAGCGAGCGAACACAGTAGAAGGTTGGAAGACCAGCCCTCGGTGTGATTGTCGATAAAGCTGATTTTCACCACGAGGAGCACGTGGGCATGTGGCTGCCTTCATGCCTGGGCCTTTTACGGTCAGGTTGGCTCCATTGGTAGCTGCATGAGCTGGCTTTAGAGGGGGCCATCGTGACGCTCAACCGGCCACGAATATGCAACAGTGTCTTCTCCGGATCCTTGCATCGCGCGAAATGCTCGTTCGATCGGGTCAGCGCCGCTGCTTCAACCAAGTACTACAAGCACCGAACGCTCCAACGGTCTTCTGATGCGTACGTCCGAGCCAATCGACGCAAATCTCATCACAAGGTGCTTGGTGATCGTTCCCTGCTCCTTGTCTGACCCATGTTAGCTACAGTCTTGCATCAATTGAGCAATATATTTGTATTGAACAAGACAATATAGTGCTCTCTTGAACGTATACGTCATCATCCGCGCACACGATCCTCTACCGCTTGCGCCAGGAGGCTTGCGCACGGGACTGCGTCGCTTCTGACGAGCCTCGTGATTTCGTCGGGAGCCTGCATGCCCCAGCGTGGTATCGCAGGCACGGAAGGTCATCGCCGATCTCGAACTGCGCGCCACATCGTATCCGGCTGAACAGAGATATCCGGTTAATCGCCGAGCATTACCGGCCTAGAACTTTGCCGACAGCACCTTCTCCGAAGCGCCCGCCTGCCCCTGCCCGATGACATCCAAGCTCAATCCGAACGCCGGCGCCTGGGTGCCAAGGTGCGCGCTGCCATGCGTCCTCACCTCACGCACATCGGTAGCTTCGTATCGTCCGTCGACGCTAGCCCGCCACCGGCGACCGCGCAATCCCCGGCCAAGCCCAAGAAGGCCACGACACCTTGCCATGCGGTCAAGGCCAGCCCTCCGCGCGCGCCGCCGGCGCCGATTGTAGCAACCGTGCGTCGTCACAATCGTAGCAAGCTTCTCTCACACTCTTCTCTAGCCTGCTGCAACGGCGGCGGCGCCAGGCCGAATAAGCGTACGCACCATGAAGGGCGTCTTCACGGCCACCAACGTCTCGTTATGCTTGTAGATTGGCTCCAAAGTCAAGGGTCGTCTGCATTATACGATTGCCGAGCTCTTGCAGGTACGATCTCGCGACCTCTTGAGGTTGCGACCTCATATTCTTGCTGTAGTTTCGGACGCTGTGCACGGCGCTTCCGCCGGACCTCGAGCTCGGCCCTATCCTTTCGGGTGGCGCGCCAAAGCCCGTCAAAGCGACCAAGAAGGAAAAGGGCGCGGCGAGGGCGCCCATGCTGCACTACGACCCGTCTGCGCTCTCGTTCTTCAAGGTCGATTGATCGATGCGACGGACGACGCTGATGATCGGACAATAGGACGGTGCTGCGAGTGCCGCCAAGCAGCCCGTCAAGCCCACCGACAACCCCGAGAAGGAAACCAAGGACGCGATCTCTGCTATTGAAGCGTACGTAGGCCCAACACACTGCGGCGTTGTAACCAGGCACGTAGCATCTTGGCGTCACCGAGCCACGACGCGTGGCTCGGCCAAATCCAGTCGGTTGCCGTCACGTGCACGCCGACGCTCCAAGCCGTCGTCGGTCTGTTGTTTGACCGCGCGATCGCAGCGCCCTCGGCCAGGTACGAATGCTTTCAACTGCGATCGGCTGAGGGGATGAAATCATCGTCTGCGTAGCGAGCCGTATGCAGCCCTCTGCGCATCGCTCTCCGAGTCGCTGCCCGAGTTCAAGGACGGAGCCCGCACGGTCAACTTTCGTCGTGTCCTGCTCACCAAGTGCTACGAAGCACTCGTCGAAGAGCCCTCGTCGCCGGTGCGTCCTGCTTGCCATACCTCCTGTATCGTCATCATCCCGTGCAATATGTAGCACGCGTGGCGCCGCCAATGCATGCTGGGCAACGTTGTCTTTGTCGGCGAGCTCTTTCGCCGGTACGTGAACTCCGCGACGAACTCGACCGTCCACGTTTGCGTGTAGACAACTGCTCACCGAGAACGTCATGCACGTGTGCGTGGCCATGATGCTCGACAGCGACGATCAGTGCAGCGACGTCGTGCCCGAGGCCAATGTGCTAGACGCTGCGTGCCGGCTCTTGCTGCTCGTGGGCGACCTCCTCGACGGCTCGTCGCCGGCGTCCCGCCGCACGATGGACGAGTACTTTGACGCGCTGCAGCGACTGGCATGTCTCTCGACGCTGCCGTCCGCACTGCGACCGCTTCTCCAAGAGGTAGTTGATCTCGATCGACGTGGCACTCATCGTCTCATGTTCAGACGCTGGACGCACGGTCGGGCGGCTGGGTTCGGAAGCGCGTCGACGGATGACGCACCGCCTATTTAACGTGTGTACGACTAGGTTTTTCGAGTAATAGACGACAGCAGCAGCTACAGAGATCGATGTACGCACAACGTACGAAAACGTACGGCCTCGTTGAAGTGGGTGCGAGACGGAGGGCGGGCGAGATTCGCTGGCGTTGGCGCGGGAATCTCCAAGGGAATGCACGGCTTCGAATTCGGCGTTCCAAAGTGGACAGCAGCAAGCTACTTGGAAGCGTCCGTGAACCAGCGCGCGTCGATGCGACCACAGATCTGCGTGCTCGTGTTCTACCAGCGGCGTACTAGATCTTAGTGGGCCCTGCGTGGGCTTTCTACTGCTATCACGCTTGCCTTCCATCATGCGGTACCTGCTACGAGCTACGACAAAGGAGAGCCAACCATGGACGCCCATGAGACTTGCAACAGGAAAAAGGCCGCTCCTTTAAATACCCAAACATGTACGCCTTTCTCTCGATACTCCACAACCTCGTCTACGACGACGCGACGGAAATCTGCGCGGCCGTCCGTCGGGGCACGGTGAACTCCATCGTCGCCGGCGCCTTGGAGTAGCTCGCCTTCTTCTTCGCCTTCTTGACCGCCGGCTTCTTGGTCGCCTTAGGCGACTTGCCCACGAGCGCATAGAGGCCGTCGACTTCGAGCTCGCGAATGCGCTCATAGTCGGCTTGGAGCACACTCGCATCTTCGTGCACCATGAGGACGCACCCGGGCGTCGTAAACATGTCGATCGTCGGCGCCATGACGACGCCTTCCGTGTGGCGAATCTTCTTGTCCACGTACGAGGCCATCGCCTCAATCTCGGCGAGGCCTGGCATCGCCTGCAGCGTCCCGTGCTCGTACGAGACGAGCGTCGTCTTGATGCCGTGGGCCCGCAGCGACGTGGGCATCTTGGGCAAGGCTTGGAACGCCGCCTTGTCAAAGTAGGCGTCGAGCGTTGCGCCGACCTGGTTGTAGCCCTGGCACTTGTCCAGGATCGGCATGTCCGTGCCTTCGCGGCCGTGGCAGCGCGCGCCAATTTCAATCAAGCACGGCTCGCCCTTGACAAACTTGACCTCGGCGTGGCCTGGACCATGGTTGATCGAGAGCACGTCAAGGACCTTGCACACATAGTCAACAATCGAGACGACCACGTCGCCCTTGGCTTCACGGAGAAGCGCACCAAAGTAGACAAACGCCGCGCCGTTGGCCGACCGCTTGTCGTACTCCCAGACCGCGACCACCTTGTGCTCGCCGTCGCGGGAGACCGTATCAATGACATACTCGGTGCCTTCGAGGTACTCTTGCACGAGCAGCGCTTGGTTTTGGATGCCGAGGTGGTTCACCTTGCCAAGCACCGTGTCGTACGCCTTTTGCACGTCCTCAAGCGACGTGCAGAGCGAAACGTCGTCGCTGCCAGCGCTGTCGACGGGCTTGACAATGACGCGGAACGGCTCGGGCTTGAGATCGTTCTCAATGTAGGCCTTGGCGTCGGCAAACGTGGGTGCGAGGCACTGCAGCACGGCGCGCATGCCCGCGGCGCGAATCTTCTCGCCCATAATGTACTTGTTGCGGCGGCCTTCCGAGCCGGCCGACCCGTTCGTCGTGAGGTTCAAGCGCTCCGAGAGGCGGTCCGTGAGCGGCACGCCGGGCTCGGCACCGGCAATGACGCCAACGATGGGGTGGCCAAAGCCCACGACCGCGCGCAACACCTTGCTCAACTGCTCGTCCGAGTGGTCGCTGCCCACGTTGAAGACTTCGCCGACAAACTTGCGGCGAAACGTTGCCGAGAGCGTGTCCATCCAGTCCTTCATGGCCTCTTCCGTGTCGCTGTAGACTGCAATGCATGCATAGCCCCGGTCCATGACCTGCTCTGCCAAGCACATGCCGGTCGAGAACGGGTCGACGACGATGACTGCGTCAACCTGCAGCATCGGCTCCGGCGTCGGCGTAAAGATGGTCATGGCAAGTGGCAGTCAAGGGTCAAATGGGAAATGACCGACCCGGCGCGGGTGTGTGATGTCATCCGGTTAGAACGCGCGGCGCGTCCGGATACTCTCTTGAAATGAGTATGCTCGGCCTGCGACAACGGGCGTGAAACCGTTCCAGGGATCTCGAAATAAAATGCGACAGCGTGCATTTAATTGCCCGCGCTCACGCTCGGGGTCCATAGGAAACGGCTTCCATTTTATTGCGATGACGCAATAAAATACCGCATGCGCAGCCTTCAAGCTCACTGGCATGTCCTGTCACAATGCATATTCTCGGACAAGCCGTAAGATCGTCGTTCAACATCACAGTATATTCCGATTTGTAATGACCTGTCAAATATCATATACGGTCCCATAACATAAGATCACAACGATGCCCGCCCACGTTGAAGACCGCGCCAACGTACAACGTTGTACGGAATGTACGGCGTACGGTGGTCGGGCGAACAAGCAACCTTGCGCACTGCCACCATGAGCTGCCACCATGGTGGTGGTGGTGGTGGCGGTGGGCAGAGCGGGTGGCGGACCAAGAGCCAGCACATCTTTCAATTTATTACAATCCCGCAACAATGCATGCGTACGTGAGCAGAATTCAGCATTTGCTCGCGATCGACACGCGCGACACGGTCCTACAAGCGCCAATCACAAGCGACGAATCAGGCTGGTGTCGATACATCACCACCGTCTGCCAGCTCCGTCTGCCGCCCTCGAGAGATCCGATGCGCTTGCGCTGAGAGATTCATCGTTGTGAATCTAGCTTGCTCTATGGCGCAGCGATGCCACGTTCGTGCGATCCCGAACACTGATGTCCAGACCAATCATGTAGTTAGTTGGTTGCACACACATGACAGCAACAGCTCGATTGGAATTATGATCCCATCCAAATGTATTACTTGTACGATCCAACAACACGACAACCCACTTTGCCACAACGTCCTCAAGGGCGTCGGGCCTTCGAAATGCCGCTTGAAAAATCTCCAAATTGCATTTGGACAACTCATCCCAACTCAATAAGAACCAAGTGTGGGCTTCAATCATTTTATCTCGGTGGTTTATAACCACATGGGATTACCGCTCTTGCTCGACGATCCATAGTTCATCGACGACGACGTCTGGCTGATCGGGATCGTCTCTTCAGTGACAACCTCGGGCGCGACGACATCATCCGGCATCGACGACGACTCGAGGAGCATCATGCGCAGCATGGGCGCGGCCGACATGGGGATTTCGGGCGACGGGATCTTGTCTTCGGGGATGCTGTGGATCGAGTCGCGGTGAGACGAGTACTTGGAGTCGACGCACACGGAAATCGACTGCGTGCTCGAGATCTCGGTGATGTCATCGCGGAGGCTGCTCAGGTGTTGCGGGCGCACATACGCTTCGTGAAAGTGAAGGCTACGGAGGATGACGTCGAGCTCCTCTTCCATGCGGGCGATGCGCACTTCAAGGTCAATATCGTTTTGGTCCACGCCAAACGGGCACTCGATCTCGCGCGCGAGGTCGTCGCACGAGAAGAGCACAAAGCCCCAGAGGAAGACCCACAGCGGCGTGTACCAGCCCGAGCTCTGCACAATCACAAACGTGTAGAGCATGAGGTACAGCACCATCATGAGCGTGAGAAAGTGCGCGTAGTTGAACGGAATCGGAATGTTGGCAATGTTGTAGACCGTCGTGTACAGCGACACGAGCGTCGAGACGTTGCCGTTGAGCGACGCGGCTTGCGGCGGCGCAAACCACCCGCGGCGACCGCCCGCTTGGATCACGCGGCGAATCTACCACCACGGGTTTTGACAGTTTGATAGAAAGCGACGTCGCGCCGTACCCACACTTCGACGATCGTCGCGCGCAGCTTGTGCGGGTTGGCCTGCGCGACCGTGGTGAAGCACGTGGTCGCATCGTCTTTTTGGCGCGTGATGACGCCGCAGCGTCGCATTTCATCCGCCTCCGAGTCGCGGAGGAGGTTGCACGCGATGAACGGCTGAATGTCGTTTTGAACCAAGCCACGGGCGTCTTGGACCAAGATCGAGACGTACAAGCACACGAGGCGGCGCATCTCGGACATGAAGTGCAGCTTGTCTTCGCCCGCGACGCAAAAGTCGAGCATCGACGCCGTCGACGCCACAATCCTAGCATTATCGTACGATCGTCACTAAGGCGACGGATGCGAGGAGAGTACCCGCGCGCTGCTTCGGCAACTGACGCGATCGCAATGACGCCAGCGCGCCACTGGTTGAAGGCCGAGTTGAGCCGGAACGAGATCATGAGACCGATGAAGACGTTGAAGACCGTGAGCGTGTCGATGAAGGCAAGGCTCGTCTTCGTCTGCGTCGTGAGAATGTCGTAGAGGTAGTTGCCGGTCGTGATGACTGTCGCGACGAGCGCCATGACGACCGCACGCGTCGGGCCGTGGCCCTTGAACGCCGAGCCCTGCAGCCGCGCGAGGAGCCGAAAGAAGTCGTCTTGGTTGTAGTAGATCATCGGCGCCGGTCAATTGCGTTCTAACGAGCTTCCAGCCGTAGCCACACGTGGCTCTCTGCCATGTATAGGCGTGGAGATACACAGCTTGGCTGCAGATGGCGACGCGTTCTTATATTTTCTCGCATCGTCGCAATCGTATGAGGCAGAGTCGACTCGTTGCACGTTTGCTCTGCACTCCGCGCGTGAGTACAAAGTGGCTTCATGATTGAATGGCTACTTCTTGTGCGCGAGACACTTTCCATCGCAGGGCCAACTTGGACGATTCCGCATACCTCGTGAAACAGCACATTATCATCTCCCAGCCGCATGCGCGCGGCAAGTCAGCAGGAAGCGCCGAGTAAAATTTCATCGCATCTCGCTCCATGATCTCGCTCTGCGTTCGATTTCAAGCCGGCGCCACCTTGGTGCACGTCGGAGAAGTAGAGTGCATCTGGGCGATGCTTCACTAACGTTAGTGTACCGGTATTATCAACGCAGGATGTGTTGCATGCAAGGCCAGGTCTGTCATTTCATCGTCCTCGCTCGACGACCTTGCTCTGCATGTACATCGAGATGGCCGCAGGATGATCGACACGGAAATGACTTTTTAACGTCAACAGCAAATAGATAGTTTGGTGCCACTTAGACGGTCGTCGGCTTGTGCAGGTTCTGCGCCACGTCGCTCCAGCGCTGCAGCGTGTCCATGGCCTTGCCGGAGGCAAGCGTCTTCTTGGCCATCTCGTACCCGTCTTTGATCGAGCTCGCGAGGCCGTAGACGTACAGGCCGGCGCCCGCGTTGTACGCAATGGTGTGTCCGACCGCGTTGTCGCAGTTGCCGCGGAAGACGTCTTTGAGGATCCGCGCGTTCACTTCGCAGTCGCCGCCCTCGAGGTCCTTGAGCGTGCAGCGCGGAATCCCGAGCTCCTCCGGCGTCAGGGTGTACCGCGTGCAGCCCTTCGTCCGCGACACCTCGACCACATCCGCGTTGCCAATCGGGTTGAGTTCGTCCAAGCCCGCGCAGTGCACGACGAGTGCGTGCTCGACACCAAGTCCGTAAAGTACCTCGCCAAAAAGCGGCAAGAGCGACGGCGTATAGACACCAATGACCGCGTGTTTGCAGCCCGCGGGGTTGATGAGCGGCCCAAGGACGTTGAAGATCGTGCGGATCCCCATGGCGCGCCGGACTGGCATCACGTGCTTCATCGCTGGATGAAAGTGTGGTGCGTACATGAAGGCGATCTTGGCGTCCTTGATGCACGGCGCAATGTGCTCGGGCTGCAGCATGGGCACGCCGAGCGCCTCGAGGACGTCCGCAGACCCCGACTTGCTCGACGCCGACCGGTTCCCATGCTTGGCCACGTTGGCGCCACACGCCGCTGCGAGGACGGCGGCGGCCGTCGAGAGGTTGACCGTGTTGGCGCCGTCGCCGCCCGTGCCCACAATGTCGAGCGACTTGGTCGTTGCCTTCGCGCATGTTAGCACCACGCATTCCTGATGCATCGTAATGTACCGGCAAGTCGACGCGGTGGCAGTGGCGCAGCATGACCTTGACGAGCGCCTGCGTCTCGAGCGGCGTCTCGCCCTTGGCCCGGAGCAGCGCGAGAAAGACGGCGATCTGGGTCGCATCGGCCTTGCCGGTCGCGATGCTGTCCATGGCGCGGTCCATCTCGTCGGCCGAGAGGTGCTGGCCCATCGCAAGCTTCTCCAGGACCGTCTTCATGCTATTCGTAAATGCGAGAGTGAGGAAGCGTCGCGGGACTTGGCCGCGGAACCGTTTTCGTATTGCACAATCTTGTTGCTTGGAGTTTCCTCGGCTTGTGATTGGCCCGCTGCGTGCCAAAAGAACGTTATGCATGGCGCGATCCAATGACGCTTTCGGATTGGCTTAAAAGATGGCATTTCCGTGCTTTTCAAGCCAACGACGCGCGCTGATTGGTTGAAATGGCAAAACGTGATTGCGCCATCGCAAGATCGCTACATTTTCGTGCGCACGAGGACAGGTTCGGTGCGACCACGGCTACTTGCACCGTGTTGTAGTAGAACCTAGTGCCCACGCATTATGTACTTGGATCATTACCACGGAAGAAGCCAGGGATATCCGCAAAAGGCTACGCGACAACACCAAGCTGTTCCTATTAGTCTACTATAGCTTTTGAATATCGAGTCGCTGGAGGTCGCGCAGGTAGGCCTCGGGGACGCCTTGTTTCTGCAGCTTCTGGAGTGCGTCCAGTCGGATCTTGTCGACAACGATGAGCTCCTTCGCCATCTTCTTGACGTTTTGCGCGTTGGCGTTGGTCTCGAGCGCCGCCTTATTCTTGCGCCGCGTCGCGTTGTCGTCAAACTGCTGGTTGAGTCGAAGAAGGTACTGCGCATGGGCTTCGTCGCGCTGGTCCTTCTCACGTTGCTTCAGCGCATCTTCCTACGACATGTAAAAGGATAGCAACGGGATACGGCCAAGGATATGGGCACCCGCTCGAGAATACGCTTGGCGACGTCGTCCGCACGCCTCTCTTGCTGCTCAATGTGCCGGCGCTCGTCGCGTTTCCGGGCCTCCTGCTCCTTTCGCTCGTGGTCGATTGTCTCGGCGAGCTCGCGCTTGAGGCGCTTCTCGTCGGCCTCCTTCTGCCGCGTTGCCTTCTCGTTGGCCTCAAACGCCTTCTTCGCCTTGAACTCGTCCTGGGCGAGTCGCTTGTCTTGGGCTTTTTCCTGCTGCGCACGGAGCTTGGCCGTCCGCATCTCTTGGGACTTGCGGATCGCTGCCTTTTCGTGGAGCAATCGCTCTTCTTCGCGGGCCTTGTCGCGAAGGTACTTGGCCGCGACTTGCTCTTCGTGTCGCTACGACAACACGGTTGTCGTCGTTCGATAGGACCTTGTTGCAAACGTACTTCTTGCGCGATCGCGTCGGCCTTCATTTGCTTGATCTCGTCGTTCGTGACAGCGATTTGTTGCAGCGTGTGCTGGACTTGCACCTGCAACATGTCGTTGAGATGCAGCTTCGGATCGAGAGTGTGTGTACGCGATGGGCCGCGACCTTGGCCTGCTCTTCGGCTTCGTATTGCTTGTACACTTGTAGAATCTTCTTGGCCTCGATCGCCTTGGCTTCCTCCTCTCGGACCTGCTGCTTTTGGTGCTCGAGAATTTGACCTGGTCGTTGTGCATCAGACCATGCAAGACGACGCGTGCCAATGCACCTTCCAGCATCTTTCGCGCGACGACGCGCTTCTCCCGCGCAACTTTCTCAGCCGCGTCGCGCGCCAGCAGGTCCCGCGTGCGGTCGGCGTCCATGATGCGGTCAAGGCGCTGGTTGTACGCAGCCTCGTGCTGCCGCGTCTCGGCTTGCTCGCGGAGCTGCGCGTCGCAGCCCGTGGCCGCGCTCGCTTTGGCGACGAGCGATTGGATGTACTTGACCGAGTCCAAGTGGGCGTGGCGCTGCAGGTCGTCTTTCGTCAAGAGCGAGTGGCGCTCGGCCTCGAGCTCCATTTGCGTCGCGTACTGCTCGCGGCGCGTGCGCACTTGGAGCTCTTTCTCGACCATGCGATTCTTGCGCTCCTGCGCGCTCGCCCGCGACGCCATCTTGGCCTGCTCGTTCGACTTGAGGCGCAGCGCCATGTCGCGGTCCGTGACGATGGCCGACTGCTGCCGGATGCGCTCGAGGTCGTTCGCATGGACGACCGTCGTCGACATGATCTCCTTGCCCGCGAGGCCCATGTTGCTCACGCGGCCCCCGACCATGGCGGCGTGTATTTCGGGATGCCAAAGGCCCGTTGCCAACGATGCTATATATAGCTGCCACGTTGCGCCAATCCGCGCGCGCGAATCCTCTTCGCATCGTGTTTGCTGGCGGCAGGAAGACGACCATGGCAGGTCCAGCAGCTCTGCTACTATCAGCAGCATGATCTTCCTCCAGAATGATAAGCCCTCACGTCGCCAGCTGCTCTGGCTGGGAGCAGATGCTGGTCATGTCATCCAAACGTTTGATCAGAGCGGCCACCCAGCGCTGCCAGCTTGTTGAAGCATGGACCTTCGTCAACGAACGACGAGGAACACGGTTGTCTGGGCGACAATCGTGCGCAGCGAAATAAGAGCTGGGAGATCACTAGGCGCCAATATATATATTCAATAAATAACAAAACCAAAACCACGCGCATACAAGGCCCCGGGAGTGGGGCGGAAAAATGGCAGCCTAAAGGCGACGACGCGACTACTCGCCGGTCGACATCGAGTACTTGGCGTGCCCGTCGTAAAAATGCTGCTGCTGGTCGTGCGGCGACCCGCCGTGCTGGTCGTGCTCGTCGTCGTCCCGGTAGTAGTTGTTCCCATGGTGGTTGCCATTGCTGTTGCTGCTGTTGTTGCTGGGTACACCTCCCAGGACCCGTGTTGCTGCTGCTGCGACGGCTCGTTCGTGTCTTGGCGGTAGTGCAGCGACGGCACGGCCGACTCGGACGCACTGCGAAATGCACGCCCGGCACGGAGGTAGCCGGCAGCGTCCGACTTGGCGCTCGGGCGCCCGTCGTCATTGGGCTGGCGCCCGTTCTTGGTCACAATCGTATCAATGTTGCTAAGGAGCCAGTCGACCCACTGGTCGTTGCCGCGCGTCGGCGGGTACGACGCCGGCGCTGGCGACGCAGACGAGCGCGAGCCGAGGCTCATGTTGGAGAAGGCGCGGCTCGACTCGGTCGTCGGCGTCGCTATCGAGGATGCCAGGTGGGCGTTCGTCGACGGCGGGATCGAGATGCTTGGAAAGAGGTTGGACGGAAACGGGTTCGGGGGCGACGCGTGGTGGCCCGTCGAAGAGGGCTGGTTGTACGACCGACCCATGTGATGCTCGGTAATGTTGGAGAGAGGCGTCAGGGACCGTCCCGAGTTGGACGCTTCGTACGTGCCTGGGTCCGAGAGGCGGCCGGTGGCGTTGGCAGTGGCGTACGACGGCTCCTCTTTCGTCTTGCGCCCCGAGAAGGACACACCGGCCGACGAGGGCTTGACCTTGCTCGCCTTGGCTGACTTGACCTCGTCGCCGTTCGGAAGGTAGTTCTCATCGTCGTTCATGGCCTTGAGCTCGTCCTGCTTCTGGAGCTTCCGAAAGAACTTTTGCGCGTGCGTCCGCGTCTGAAGCACAGTCCGGGTCCCGACGGCCTTGGAGATCTTGCGCCATCGGTTCAGGACACCGTGCGGGAACGCGCCAAGGCCTTGTACAACCGGTTGTGCTCTTCGATGGACCATCGCCCCGAGTTGAAGAGGATGCTCGACGGTAGGTTCTTGGAGCGCAGGTGCTTTTGCGTGTCGTTGTTGCCGACCTCGGGATCGACGTCGAGTTCATGATGCCGTTCGCGACCTCGTCGTGGCCGCGGAACGGCGACATGCCACCCGTCGGGCTAATGTTGGGGTGGCCCGACCGCGACGACGTCGGCGTGTACGCGATCGCAAAGTCCGCTGACGACTGCTTGGCCTCCTTGCGGTAGATCGTGGGCGCAAACGACTCGGTCGGGTAGCTGCTACTGCGTTGGAGGCGCGTCGCGTCGACCTTGGTCGGGTACATCCAGCTCTTATCGTCCGGGCGGTCGCCGTGGTAGCTCTCGACGCGGTCGCGGGCGTAGCCGTAGTAGCTCTCGCTCTCGTCGTGGCTGCGCGTGTCAATCGCATGGAGGCCGTGGGCAAACTGGCCGCCGAGGAAGCCGCGTAGCGACGACTCTTCTCGCGAGTCGAGCTCCATGTCCATCGTGCGATTTCGTCTACTTGGGAAGAGGAAGGATACTACTCCAGGAACCGCTCCTGATGATCTACCGCGGAGGATGCCAATTGCAGAGTGCCACTTTGGAAACCATTTGACAGCCGTCGAACCCATTTAATTTTACGTCCATTTTTATTCACGCGCGAACGATACTACAAAACGACTATCCACGCGCGCCGTTGTTGAAGCACGCGGTGTGGACTTGCCAATTGTATGCCATGGCCCCGCCCCCCGGCCCATTTTTTTACATGCAGCGCGCGATCTTGCATTAAAAACACAATAAAAAGAGACGCCGCCTTGAACGGACCCAAGAGTTCAATGTGAAAAATCCGACCGCTTCTGAGTTCGGCGTCGGACCTGCCTGCGCTTGGCACCTTGTCGTCTATACAAGCCCCAAGTGCGATGGACTTGCGACTCGGACCCGCGTCTCCGACCTGCGTCGTGATCGCAGCGTACACCCAAGGCGCGACGACGCACCCAAGATAAGGTCCCACGCGAATCTCAACCTGTTGACTGGAAACCCCCGTTGCCTTTTCGAAGCTTGGCACGCCAAGTAGCCACGCGTATATATATAAGAAGAGGACTGCTGTGATGCGGCGACCGGCAGGACGAGGCAGACGACGCGGCGGGAGGCAAAGACACGAAGGCCACGTTCACCGGCGCCGAATCAGGGTCGGTCGCCGCAGCTGGCGAGAACCACGGCCTTCGAATTTCTCGAGCATACCAAGGCCAAGTTTGCGGTGAGGTGAAAATTAGCTGCCGCCAGCTGGCCGTAGACGCACCTGCCCCGCCACCTGGTCGCGAAATTACTGGGTGCCAAGTGGATTGCCGCGGTAAGAAGGTCGCTGCTGGCCACACGTTGGGGCGATCTCGGACGCAGTCGCCTCCCGCCGTCGCCGCCCGCGCTGTGAGTACCCGCACAGACGCTCGTTGCTGTGACGCTAGCGAGTATTCTATCGGCGGCTACCCCTGCTGTCGATGAACGACGTGAGCAAGAGTATCATCGCGCGCGCCGTGTCGTCACGTGAGCAACTTGTGCCGGAGATGCGTCCGCTTGACGTGGGCTCCGCACCCACACCGCAAGGCTAATTATTATACCTCAACGCATACCGCCCACTGCAAGTGCGGTGTCCAGCTGCAGGCATGCTTGCCATACGCCTGCCTGCCAGTCATCATCCCGCCGTGCGATCATTCAAGCGCTCTCAACTGCGTCCGTACTGTACAACCTGCAACCTTTTTCTCGCTGGGAGGATTTTCGACGCGATGGACAGAGAGCGATCTCACCATGGAGCACTGCGGTGTGCGGACGAGCGCGATGCGACGAGGCGAATCGTTCCTTGGTCATGGCGTAGGTCCATCGCTACTAGGGACCCTACCCGCGCTTGCTGCGTGAACGCGCCTGAAGATTCAACCTCTGAGAATGCATATCCAGAATATGCATAGATACGGGTTTGGTCGTCCATTTCTGATCCGCATGAATTGGCTCGAGCGAGGCTGCGTCCGAGTAGCCCCGGCGTTCCAGCGCCCGGCCGCCAAGAGTTGCCTCGTGAGCAGCATGCTGCGCCAGGGCCACCTGTCACATGCGGCGTCCGTCCACCTCCTCGGCGCGCAGCAGTCGACGGCCACACCGCTCCTCGAGGTACTGTATGCGCTAGGTGCACGGCGCAGGTGCCGATGCGACCGCGTAGGAGCTCTCGGCGACGGAGCGCAAGAACCACGCCGTGCTGGAAGAGTTTACCAAGACTTCGTCGGCGTACCGCTTCCGCCCGAGCCTCTTGCAGCCGTTCGCGGCCGTTGCGAGCGCGACCTTTGGCACCGTCCTCCGCACGCTCTCGCCCACGATTAGCCAGTCGTACGCGGCCGGCGTCAAGCTCGCGATCGCCGACTACTACAACGACCAGATCCGCGAGATCTACGCCGAGCTCGACAACGCGCCCGAGGCGGCGCCGCTCAAAGAGGTATGCATCGGCGCCGCGTGGCCTCGACCTCCCACGTGGCATGCTTGTAATAGCTCTTCAAGTCGCTACGGGACGCCGAGCTCGACGACATTGAGCGGATCTTCCCTTCCATCGAGGTACTATTCATACGTGGTATGGCATCATAAATCATTGCTTCTTGCGATGACAGGATGCCAAAGCCGACCAGACAGTGCAGTACGCGCGCCAGGCGACCATGCTCGTGCTCAGCCCGGCGCAGTCGGTGTAGTTCCTCAAACGAAAAGAGACTTCAATGCAATGAAAGTATAAAGTGTTGTTGCAACCTCAAGACAACAATATTGTCTTCTTAGCCCCAAAAGTTGGTGTGCGGCGTCTCAATGTAGACCCAAAAGCAGATGATCGAGAGCACAATCGCGAGGCCAAACGAGCCGACGACGTTGCCTTGGTCCGTCAGACTCTTGTGGCTCCAGCCAAAGTACGTCTGGAGCGACATGCGCACCATCGGGCCGAGCTGGCTCGCGGTGAAGATGCCGAGGAAGAGCGAGCCGAAGACGAGCGGCGTGCCATGGGTCGTCTCGGCGTTGTTGTAGCCGACAAAGAAGCGGACGACGCTCCAGATGACACCAAAGACAATCGAGAAAAAGACGAGAACGTTCGGGAGCTCCATCGTCGAGTTGCCGCCGAGCGCGCCAGTGTTGGCCCACGCCGCCTCCTTGTCCGTGATCTTCCAGTAGATCGCGTCAAAGACCGCGACCACGTGCACGAAGGCGTACGAGAACCACGTCTCTTGGCTGCGCATGACGTCGTTGTTGTCGACCGTCCGGTTCATCATGGCCGAGAGGATCGTCTGGATGACAATCTTGGGCACAAGCGCCACGAGGAGGCGGAGCCCGGCCGTGTAGATGGGCGCATTGCCAGAGTACAGAAAGTACCCGGTAATGTAAAAGAAGAAGAGCGCCGGGAACGACCCGATCGGGTAGATGGTGAGGTTCATGAAGAAGACCCAGCGCATGAAGCGGTTGACCTTGCGCGGCGGCGGGAGCTCGACCGTCGGCGGCGACCACGTCGGGTCCACGAGCGACTTTTTCCGGCGCAGGAAAATTTGAAAGTTGCCCTTCGCCCAGCGCTTGCGCTGCGCCAGACTCGCCGCGACCGTCTCGGGCACGGCGCCTTCGGCCAATCGGATGCGGTCGCCTTCTTCGCCTTCGAAATCCTTGCGGAAGTAGAGACCCTTCCAGCCCTTGTCAATCATGAGCTTGCCCGTGAAGGCGTCTTCCGTGAGCGAGCCGTACGCAATCCCAGACACCGAGTCGAGCGCCGACCGGCGGAAGATCGCGTTCGTGCCGGCAAACGAAGCGCACTCGTAGCCGTCCATGCCCGTCTGCGCCGAATCGAAAAACGTGAGTTGCGGTGGCCGCACGGGTCGCCGAGACGGAGCTGCAAGCAGTCTTCAAAGTACTGGGGCGTCTGCACGTAGCCGACTTGGTTCTTGCGCACGTCGTCCGAGTACTGGTCGTCCATCGCGAGCATCACTTGGTTGTTCTGGACCGTCCCGATCGAGCTGCGCCGACCATAGTTGTTGTGGCAGCTCTTGCACTCGCCCGTCTTTTGGTTGACGGTGCCGCCGCAGCCCGAGCACTGCGTGCGCTTGGCGCGGCTCGACCGCGTTTGGCGGCGGTGAATGTCCGACTTGGCGTGGTTGGCCGCGTCAAAGCACTCTTTCGAGCAGTAGCTAATGTTGGCTTCGGGCACGCCGGCCTGGACGCAGAGCGTGCACGAGATCTTGGCAATATCCGAGCAGCCCGGCGCCGAGCACCGAAACGTCTTGGTCGACGACGGCGAGTCAAAGAAGAAGGGCAGCGTCGCTTGCACAAACATCGGGTGCGGCTTCATGTCGTTGTCGAGAATGATCGCGTACTTGCCCGAGGCCTTTTCGTTGTAGAGCACGTTGTTGATGTTGCCGGCCTTCGAGTGGTGCGTCGGCGGCTTGACGCGGCCGACAAACGTCACACGCGGCAGACCCGCGTACCGGTAGTCGTAGTCGTCGCGCTCCGAGCCGATCGCGCAGTCGACGCGCTCGCACACGCGCGGGTTCTCGGGTGTCGGGAGCTTGACCGTCGTGTGCGACCGGCGCCACTCGTTGACTTCCATCTCGGCCGCACGCGTGTAGCCAATGCCTTGGCCATCGCCGTCGAGGTCGAGCACCTTCTCGTACATAAAGTGCGCGAGTTCGTAGCGCACGTCGCCCGCGTTCTCGATGACGCCCTGGTTGACAACGACCTCGGGGATCGGGTTCCCCGGCGTAAACTTGGTCTTGAACGCGCCGTCGTCGCAAATGTACACGTGGAGCTTCTCGGGCGGGTAGTCGAGCTTAAGGATTGCATCGAGCGTCGCCATCGTGTCTTCGGCCGGCTCGGCGTAATGGCATAGCAGGATATCGACCGTCGGCCACTACGATGCATGTTCATTGCTGCAAGAGGAAGCGCGGTGAAATACCTTGTCGGCCGGAAACGGCGGGTTGAAGTCCCTGAGGTACTGCGCGCCGCGACGCACGGGCTTCCACATACCGAGGTAGTAGAGTGCGCCGAGCAAGATCGAGATGAACTCGGCAAAGTAAAACATAAAGTACGAGACCCAGTGCGCGAGGACGGGCTCGCGGAAGCACTGGACGTTGGTCATGCCGGCCTGCGTCCAGTACCACTGCGGTGGGTTCCACATGCCATTGAACGGCTTCGGGCCACAGCTACAGGCCGTCATGAGACTCGGCATAGGCAGGAGGCAGCGAGACGTACACGGGCTGGTTGTCGGCCGAGTAGCGCTTGAAGATGTTGACGCACGTGTCGTTGCGGTGGAGAAGGTCGCACGGCTCGATACCGAGCGGGAACCACAGGATGATACCCGCGAGCTCGACAATGGCCGTGATCAGAAACAAAAAGTAAAAGAAGCGGTAGCTAGACGCCGTATGAGCCTCGCGTCCCAGGCGATATGGATACAGGTAGTACCTCGTGCGACCCTTCATGACGTATTCGCGCACGTTGGGGAGCTGGCGCACGACGACGTTGCCACTGCCGGCCGTGATGATGATCTCTTCGAGCGCATCAAACCACATGTTGAAGTCGGCGTCAGTCTCTGGGCAAAGGAGCCACACGCGGCGCTTGGTGTGGATCTCGATACCCTTGGACGGCAAATCGAGGCGCGAACTTTGCTCGAGCTTGAACGCGCCACGGAGATCGACCGTGCCAATGCAGAGCTCACTCTTGCGCGAGTTGAAGTACTTGCGCGCATCGACCGGCTCGTGGAAGTAGTAGATCTTGTTGCCTTCGAGGCAGAAGAAGCGGCGGCGCCAGCTCTTGGCCACGGGCCCTACATGGCGCATGGTGGGCATGCGACCTACCGCTGGAAGCGCGTACCTTTGAAGGCGCGCGTGCCCTGCTTGTGCATCCAGCCAAAGACCTTGATGCTGTTGTCGTCCGCCATCTCGGTCTCGACCTTCCCGCCGGCGTCGCGTTCATCGCGTACTTGTCGCTGGCCATTCCGCAGTCGACTTGGCGGCGCAAATCCCGAAATATTATTTTGTGGGCAAGACGGAGGGTGGAATTTTGGCGGCTTCGATCGCACGCGATTGGCCACTTTTTAGCCAATGACATCGATGCGAAAGCTGTAACAAATGCTACGAGAGCGCAAGTTGGGATATTTTTTTAGTCGATCCTCTGATGTGATCGTCGTTCTTATAACTAGTTGTATACAGAGCGTGTCGCATGTATTTAAATACGGTGGCCACAGGATCTCATTTTAATATTCCGAGAAAGTGCAGCCCAACCGGCTGGCGCCGAGCCGGACCTGGCGACGACGACCACGAAGTACAGTAGCTACGGCTCGATCGATGGACCGGACGTGGCGACGGCGCTTTGGTCACTGGAACTATAATTGCATTGCGGTCGATTGGATCAAGCAGCTTCCTTGACTGTTGTGGCATGTCTGGAGTCCACCGGTCCATCTGGGGCCACCATTGACCGCCATACGATGACGACACGGATGGATGGGGTCCCGTTGCGTTGTCGGAAGAAGATGCGCTTCCTGGCGATGCCCCTCCTGGCATGGCTTCCTGGTCGTGTTGGCGCCAAGCTAGCCTCGCCATGCCAAGCGGCTACGACACAATGAGCGCAGGATCGAGGACGTGGAAGCCAACAGAACGGCCGCATCGAACGTTACTGCCCGCGCAGTCGCATACCACGAGAGCATGAACCGATGACTGCAAGGCAATGTGACGAGCTTGAGCCGGCGCTCGTGGGTAGGTGGCGCCTTGAAGTGCTGCAGTGGTGCGTTATATAGGCCACTTGCGAGGTAAATTGCAAAAGTCGCTGGATGTGCCACGTGCTGCTCTTGTGCCGGTCGAGGGTGCGACGTTCAGGTATCCTTACTTGACCTTATTGTTTCGACTCGACGTAGGCGCGGATTTGAAGGAACTGGGGCCACTGAAAGTACATCGAGTTATAACGCATGCATGTACCAGTCCATTGATGCTGTAAGGCTGCTCACCGCGCTGTTGATGCAAGAGCAATTGCACTTTCTGGATGCAGGGGCTGCCACGTGTAATGGCGGCGATTGGCAGAATCTCAACATTATCCGGCTGTCCGGAAACGATGCCACTTGGCGACGATGGCTCTCCTGACGACGGGGCAGGAGGAGCTGCTTGCAAGCTTGGAGCGCGTGTGGCAGCAGCACCTCGGGGCTACGTCATCGACAGATGCATCGACGGCGTTCACCAAGGCGCCCATGAGCCTCAAGAACTACTACGCATCGCACGTGTCGACCGCATCGGCAACGGCGCCGCTGCTGCCGCCCGCCGTCGACGCCTTCCATCAGCGTGCTGTAGCGTGCGTGAATGCTAGCAACGCAGTGGTCGAGCATACGCAAGCGTCTTTGAGCTTGCTTCAGGAGATGGAAGATCGCCATGCGTCGGTTGTCGCGCTCACCGGCGCCCTCTACGAGAGCTTCGAGACGCTCCTCCACGAGCTTGACGCACTCGAGGTAAAGCTCAAGGCCATGTCGACGCCGCTGCCGTACTTCACGCGCATCTCGTCGCTTGCCAAGAGCCTCGGCGGTCACATTGACTTTTCGTCCAAGCCCGACGCATCCGTGCACGTGCATGTGCGGCCCTACACGTTTGGCACGATCGATCCGACCGCACCCGCGTTCACCGAGGCGATTCGCACGATTGACGAGTGCACGGGGTACCTCCAGGAGCACGTACGTACAGGCTTCTATCCAACGGCATTTTATGCAAGCTGGGAGTAGATGGACTTTAAGGACACGGAGATGTACCTCGCCGCGTACAACCAGCTCCTCTTGCATGCGTCGCACTGCCTCAAGGACTATGCGATCGCCGCCCTCGAGTCGGCCAAGGATCAAGTGGCTGCAGCCAACGCCAAGCGGGTCTATCTCGAGGTGTCTTGTCCTGTCATTACCATTTTAATTAGACGGTGCACGCCGACATTCTGGACCCGGCCTCGACGTACTACGCCCAATTCCACGTCGCCGCGCCCGCGTGCCAAGCGATTGCCAAGCATTTGGAGCAGCGAACCATCACACCAGGGTCCGTTTCGATATTTAGGGTATTTTCCTCATTTTCATGTAGCTCGGAGCAGTTTATGATGGACGTGCTCGATGCGTATGTGAGCCAACGCGTCGCGCTGCTGCTACCTGCGGTCACTACACACCTCCATGCGCTCGACGGGTCGACCTCGGACCTCGTCCACGTGGTAGACAATCATTTGTGTATGTTTGGACGATTGATATTTTGATACTAGCTGCGCGTGGGCTGCCAATTCCTCGTCCGCGTGTGCCAGGCCGAGCACCACTTGTTTACAACTATGTTTGGTGCGCCGCCCAGCGCATCTCTCTTTGCTTCGGTGCTGCTCTACGACGACGATGACGACGACGACGTGGCCGCCGACGAGCTCGATGGCAATGCGTTCCAGTACCGAAGCTCTTATCAGCATCTCCTCAGCGTTTCACGCGTAGGCGCCTCGTGCTGCAACTGTGCTACCCGCTGTACCAATGCATTCGCCCGCGTATGATCCACGAGCAAGACCTCGAGGTTCTCTGCGAGTCGATCGAAGTGCTTCGTAGCGAGATCATGGAAGCGCAGATTCGGCCCCGAGGTCCTCGCCCCTCCTGTCCACGCTCGATGGTTATCGCGATCCTAGGTGTCGCCACTGAAGTGCTCGAGGCTGCGATCGAGCGCATGGTTGGGGATGCGCAGGAGCGCCTTATACTCTGCACCCAAAAGTTCATTCGCGACGAGATCGAGGGGTTTTACCCGACACCCGCCGACCTCGACTACCCGCCAAGCTCCAAGGTACCAGTGTTTATCCAGGGCATCGATCTCCTATCAAAGCCTAGCAACGTCCGTGTACGCGACCTGGTACCCGACGCTCGAGCACACGCTCATGTGTCTCTCCAAAGTGTACCGCTACCTCCACGTACACCTACCCATCAATCCAATGTGTGAAGAGGCATGGTGACTAGATGCATATTTTCACCGAGCTCGCGCAAGACGCGGTCTCGATCTGCACTGCGTCGCTCAAAATGGCTGCTGCCGACCTCACGGCGCAAAAGGTACCAAAGCAATTTCGAAAGAGGTGCTGACGGACATGCTAGGGCCCCTGCGACGGCGGCCTCTTCCTGGTCAAGCACCTCTTGACGCTGCGCGAGCGCATCACGCCGTTCGACATTCAGTTTTCGATCACGGAGAAGAGTTTGGACTTTACGTCGACGACCGGTACGCGGCTCCAGACGCTGATCATCTGGTAGTGACTGGTGCGCAGACGCGATGGGCAACGTGCTCTCAGATGCATTCTCGCTCTCGCTCGACAACTCGGTGCTGGGACTGCTAACGCACGGCATTCCACACGTCAACACGACCACGTCCGATGTGAAAAAGGTGCGATGGCGTTTCTCACAATGTGGACTCACGAGCACGTAGGACCTCGAGCACGAACTCAAGAAGGCGTGCACGACCTTTATTGAGTTTGGCCTTCAGACTGCCGCGCGGCCGCTCTCGACCCTCTTGCGCAAGGTAATAGTACTGTACTGGCGAGCAAAGGTTGGAAGGCCAGTTCTCATGATGGTGTAGGCGCAGTCGGCGAAGGCCCTGCGTACGCTCGCGCATTCTCCTGCCGATCGTGCTCATCAAATACTGTAGCTGTGGTCGCGGCGGCGCTCGTTGAGCTCGAGGAGACCATGCAAATGCAGATCCCCAAGCTCCGAGATGCGATTCACGCGTACCTCATGCATCCGTCGACCGAAGCGATTCTCTTCCAGCCGATCCAAGTATTACCCGACTCTCAATCCTTCTTTGCATCGTGACAAACTGTCGAGTAGAAGGCACTCTTGGAGGCCATCGAGCAGCTCAAGATGCAGCTCGAGCAGCAGTACCCTGGCCTCGACGCACGTGCTGACGTGGACGCGCGCATTCAAGTCGCGCTCTCGCGTGTGCTCCAGCTGTAAACGCGTCCTTCTCAAAGCACACAGCCTATAACGTTTCTTACATTGGTCTAGTATAGACAATATTTCCATCGTCATTTCGACAAGCCAGGAAGAAGTGATGGCAACATGCTTGTTGGGGTTATTGGATAGGGCTAGGGTGCATAGTGGACGATCCTCTTCGCCTGCAAGACAGAACTCGATACAGAGTATTGGGAAGATTCCTCGCGCCTTGGTCGCTTTGAGAGTAGTAGCGCACGTCTAGTAGCAGCGCTTCCTCGGGCGGTGGAGGCCTCGGTGAGAAATCCAACGAGAGCTTTTGGCGGCCGATCGGGTAGAACGGCGGCGACGGTCCAATCTTAAAGTTAAAGCGGTACATACTGCCTGAGAAAATTCGGTGAGGGCTCTTGTACCTGGTCATGCATTTTCACTCTAGATCGACGCCTCGACGCAGTGCTCGAGCTTGACGAGCGTCGCCTGGCGAGCTTCTCGCGGGATGGCGCGCAATAAGAATTCCGCCAATCAGCCAATCAGGAGAAAGAATTTTTCAACAGCCAATCAAAAGCGAGTATTTTTAAAAATTCAAACGCCCTATAGATTTCCGATTTGCGGCAATTGGAGTTTGGCCATGGAGAACGGTGACGCTGGGTACCGCTGCGACCTCGACGTGCAAGTCGCCAGCACAGCGACGGGCCAGCGCAAGTCGTCCAAGTCGCTTCGTGGCGTCCGCATCCTCAAGCGTGCAGGCGGCCTCCAGGTTCTTGCGGCAGGCGCCAAGATGGCAATCCGGACACCGTCGGCCGAAGGTACACCAGCACGATGCGCCGCCGACGCCTCATGCTCTGCTGCTGTACAGTGTACTTTAGCCAAATCCAGCGCGGCAAGATGACGTTCATCAAGTACCAATGGCCGACAGCGAGTTGCCGGCTCATGCGCCTACCATAGGCGGGATGCGACGACCTTTACGCAGTACAACCTCTTCAATGGCACGCCCGACGACTTGATTGCGCTCCGCGACTTTGCGCTCACGCAAGGCGCCGTGTCCAAGACCACAATGCGGATCGTGTCGCCGCTCAAGACCCTGGCAACGACGATGCGTGCACCGCTGAGCGACCGAACCAACCACGTGTTGAAGACGCCGAGTCCGTCGCCGGCAAAGAAGCTGCGCAAGCGCCGAGCGTCGTCGCCGCCTAGGGTACAACCTCCAGAGCAAAGCAGTACCCTCAAGCGTGTGTAGGCGCGTGCGCTGGCATCCTCCCAGCCGACCAAGCGGTCGCGCGTCGCCCTCACCAGCGAGCAGCAAGAGGTACAACCACGGTATCAAATGCACGATATACCATGTTCGTGGTAGATCATTGATGCAGTGGCTCGGAAGGAGAACGTTTTCTTCACGGGCCGCGCCGGCACGGGCAAGTCGTACCTTCTTCGACAGCTGCAAAAGCGACTGCCCCAGGAAGGTCTCTACAGCACTGCGACAACAGGCATCGCTGCCTACCACATCCGTGCGAACGACTCTGTCCGATGCAATGGAACTCTGATGCCTCTTAGACGGCATGACGCTGCACCACTTTGCCGGCTTGAGCGCGACGCTACCCTCGACAAAGCTCGCCGATGTCGTTGCGTTGATTGAGCGCAAGAAGGACGCCGTCTTGCGGTATGTTGGCTCTGAAATTGCCAGATCTAAGCAATTCGTGTCTACTGCATGTAGGTGGCGCGCCGCTCAGATTCTGATTGTGGACGAAATCTCAATGCTGGATGGCGACCTCTTTGAGCTTCTCGAAGGCGTCGCCCGCAAGATCCGCAAGTCGCAGGCGTTCTTCGGTGGCATTCAACTCATTCTCTCGGGCGATTTTTATCAAGTACCGTACTGTCTTGCCCCTCCCATCCGTCGTCAGTCGCGCTCTGTAGCTGCCGCCCGTCACGACCGACAAGCAAGCCATCTTTTGCTTCGAGGCGCCGAGCTGGGACACGTACGTCGAGAGCACATGCGTCATCATCGTTGTACTATCCCTCGGGTCTAGCGGCATCAAAGCAACGTTTTCGCTCAACCAAGTGTTTCGCCAGAAAGACCCAGAGTTCATCACGATCCTCAACGCCATCCGCGAAGGCACACACACGCAGGTAGACCTCATCGCTGCGCTTCCAAGTCGTTCATTTTCAATTGCACAGGAGATGCTCACCAAGCTCAATGAGCGTGTTGAGCCCGCTGCGCAAATCAACCCGACCCAGGATGCGAACGACGACGACGACGCCATCCACATCTTTACGCACAACGCCGACGTCCTCCAGGTTCTGCACTTCAACACACGTGTTGCCGATGTGAACGCCACTTGACGTCTAGATGAACCAAAAGCACTTACATGCTCTCGACGGCGTTGCCCACGAATACACGGCAAAGGACCGGTGCGCTCCATGCATGATCGAATTGACGCGTATTCAGGCTCTCCGTAGCGGACCACGCGAGTACCTCTTTGGCTGCCCTGTGCCAACGCGCGTCGTTCTCAAAAGTACGCAGTCGCGTGGTGCACATGCCGCGTCTGATCCTCGAGAGTAGAGAACGCCAAGGTCATGCTCACCAAGACGATCTCCGTTGCCAATGGTCTCGTCAACGGCTCCCGCGGCGTCGTACGTCACCTTGTTGTCGGTGTGCTTATGCGACGGTAGATCCTGGGTTTTACGCCAGGAGCGATGCTACCGTTCGTGCGCTTCACCAACGGTATCTCGCAAGTCATTCCGCTGGAAGAGTTTGGTGTGACGGCCAACGATTCGGTCATCGCTAGTCGCCAGCAGGTTGTCGCTACTGTAGATGGCGCCGCTCAACTCTGCGTAGATCCCACTCACGCTGGCCTATGGCATCAGCATCCACAAGAGCCAAGGGCTCACGTTCGACCGCGCCATCTTGCACCTCGGCAAGGTCTTTGAGTACGGCCAAGCGTACGTGGCACTCTCCCGCATCTCGTCGCTGCAAGGTACTCGCTTTTAATATCGCCCACTTATGGAGCTACCGTCCTACTAGGTCTGCGGCTGGCGGCGCCCTTGACCAACAAGGCCATTCGCGTCCATCCAAGCTTGCGCCTTTTGGCCTTCTAAGACGTATCTTATCCTGTAAAATAGTGTGACCTACTAATCGTGTTGATTTCTCGGTTCCTCGGCTGGGACACGATGGCAAAGCGATATGTACAACGTGTCGGATCAATACATACGTGCAAGGACATGGCTTTGCCATACTGATTGAAGGTCTTCGTGCCAATCAGGCGACGAGAAGTGCCGCAGAACACGCGTCCATCGTACACTATTTCTGTATACCGTGAAAACACATATTGCAGTTGGTATTGGATTTTTAACCCAGGCGTGAGCGGTCGATCAAGTGTGAGAGGTGAAACCGGAGGCGCATGTCTTTGCACAGAGCCAAAGATACATTCGGGCATGAGCAGTCGTCAAGTCGCGGACGAGCCTGACGATGGCGGCTTCCAGGCGTACCGCGAGAAGTTCAACGAGACGATCGCCGCGCCCAATGGCCCGCTCCTGCGCGTGGTATGGCGCTATGGCCATGGCGACATGCAGCACATGACGACGCCATGTAGATCCAACCGCCGCTGGACGATGGCTCGCTCCTCGAGTCCAAGCGCACCGAGCTCATCGAGACCGCCGAAGAGAACCTCGAGCAGGACATGGATGAGCTAAAGGACGCGACGCATATCCGCAACGTCGAGATCCAGCGGCAGTTTGTACGTCGACATCGCTTCGTGCTGCCGTCGACGCCTCGTGGAGTAGGATGCGATCATGACGAGAGGACACCACTTTGAAGTCAAGCTGGCCGACGAGACGCGGCAGCGCGACGAGTCGATTGCGATGCTCAAGGTATACATGCATCTTCTGGACGAGTCGTTCAAGAGGAGGATGTGCAGGCCACGTTCACGTCGGCTTTTGACGACGCGTACGCCGAGATGGAGGCGAAAACGAACGCTGCGTTCAACCGTCGGCTGGAGCAGACGATTGCGGCCGAAGAGGCGCGCGAGAACAACGTGCAAGTGCTCTTTGACGAGTTCATCCAAGTCACGGTGCCCAACATCATTGAAGCGCTCCAAGGCACGATCACAAGGCGCCTCGACAAGTCCCACGAGACGTTCGACATCGACAACACCAAGCTCCTCAAGCGCGAGAAGAAGATGACGTCGCAATTCGAGAGCCACGAGCGCAAGACAGCGCAAGCGTTCGTCGATGAGAAGGACCGGCGCGTCTCGACATTCATCGCCTTGCAAGAGGCCATTCACGCCACGATGTCCTCCGACGACCGTCAGGTATCGTCTCGTCTGTCGAGCTGCTCATTCAACACCATGCGACTGCCTCTTAGACGGAGCGAAAGCAAAGCGCCCACATCGAGACGATCGTCGCCCTGTACAACCAGTACCTCGAAGAGAAGGAGATGCGCGAGACCGAGGACGCCGAGCTCCTCGAGAAGGTCTCGAGTGCCATGGAGCGACTCCACGCGAGCATCCTCGAGACGTTTGGCGAAGAGAAATGAGCCGCGTCGCCTTTCCGTTGGTAGCTTCGTGCGCTACGCTGCATAGCGCTAGGTGTTTTGAATACATTCTCATCCATGCTCGCTGGCTCGCTTTGCATGCTAAAAGGAAGCGGCCAGCCATTTGCGCATGCAATCAAGGTTCAGTTGACGTCGCGGCGAGTGCGCCGTAGGATGAGGATTGGCTCGCTGCACAATCCTCTGCGTCGACCTGTAGTGCTCGGCCGCAGGGCATCCCTCTCGTGCTACAAGCAGTCGCGGTGTGGCTCTCTACGCTGCGTGAGTTCGAGCTGATGGCACCTCGAGGCGGTGACCTGCGTGCAACGTGTGGAAGACGGACAAACGAGGGTTCTCGGGGTTCCATAATGGAAGAGATTCGATATTGAGACAGTCAACTTGCAGCGCGCCACCAAGTAGCACGAAGCGCCTTGGACTCGCGACGTCGTCTCCTCCGACCAACTCTGGTTTCATGGGCAAGCAGCACATTTAGTTGGTGGCGGCCTTCTTCGAGACAGCCTTCGTGCCCTCACGGAAGCCGTTCTTGAACTTGCGCGGGACGGTCTTCAAGTAGCGCATGCGGCCCGTGCCCGTGGTGCGGCGGCGAAGCGCCTTGGCCGACCAGTTGTACTTGCGCATCTTGGCGGCCGGGTAGCCGCACGAACCACACGTGCTCTTCTGGATGTGGTACGAGGACTTGCCACAACGTCTGCAGATCGTGTGGGTCTTGTTGTGGCGCTTACCGTAACTAGAGGTACCCTTGGTCTACCAGAGGCATGAGAGTCCGTGGTAGCTGGATCGCTCGACGTACCATTTTCAGAAGATGAGTTGGGAATCCGAGTGAGCGGAATCGGTTGAGCTCGAGACCCAAACCCAGCGACCGCGCCACCAGTCAAAATCCAATACATTTCAAACGCTCCTACGCACCAGTCATGGGTTTCCACCAATCACATGCGAGATCTTGCGACATCTGATACCTCTGGCACTCGATATTGTATGAAAAAGAAGAGGTTTGGGCGCGCCAACCCAACAGTGCGAGATTGGGAGGCGAGGGACGTAGAAGGAGCAGCAACGAACGTCGGCGCCGTAGGCCGTGGCGCCGCGACGGTCCAACACCACCGAGAGACGAAGGCTCCTTGCGTGTCTCCGCGCGGAAAGCCGCGGAGCTCGAGGATGTTTGCAGGCGACGACGACAGTGGGCAGAGGCATGGATGCTTCGTACATGCATGCGATGGATAACGCAGATGGGACCAACGGGCGCCCAGAGGCAGCTCTTGCGGCTACTTGAACGCGGCGACGACATGCGCCAGAGACGCCAACGCACATGCCCCGTCGTCCCGTAATGGCCGGCAACGCGGTCGCTACCTGTGGGATTCGGATGGGTGTGCTGTAGCATGCAGCTGGTACGAGGATGCCTCACATGCAGTGAGAATAACGTCGCGCGCGATGCGGACATGGCCCAAGGCCAGATAGGTCTCCCTCCTCCTCGTGCCTGCCAGTTCATTGACAGGCCGGTCACGAGAAAAGCACTTGACGTTTGTATGGCGATCAATATAAAGGTATCCAAGTTGCACTATTGATTGCGAGAGGTTTTGATTCCTGCCATCATGACGGTGTCGCCCGAAGCCTGGGCCGGTCTCGCTACGCTCAGCACCGCTGTCGAGACGCTCGAGCGCATCGTGAGCTCGGCGGATGTACACATGGACCGCCCGCTGCAGGTGATGGGCCAGGACGCGCTTCTCTTTGCCGCCTCCATGTACGACGAAGACCTGGCGCTCGAGGTACTCCTTGCTTGCATCATCCTTGGACGACGGCGATGTCACTCTTTCTGCGGCACTGCTATTAGGTGCTAGCGGCGCGTGCGAGGATACCTGTCGATGTCAATGCCATCGACAACCACGGCTACACGGCGCTGCACTACGCTGTCGACGCAGACATGCATGCGTTGGCGCAAACCTTGCTCGCCACCGAGGCCATTTGTGTGCGCCTCCAGACGGAAGACTTGAGCGTTGTGGGGCACATCCAGTCGGGCGGGCGCACGCCCTTGCATCTGGCAGTTCTCCGCGGCAGTATGGACCTCATGCAGCTGCTCCTGGAAGCCGACCCTTTGCTTGCGACGGTGGCCGACTTGGATGGCCACCTGCCCGTGCACTTGGCACAGCTCCACGGCGGCTCCATGGACCTCATCGGTTGTTTGCAGGTGCGCATCGCGCAATCGTACAGCCAACATACAGCGGTTGGATGATGCTAGGCATTCCATGCTGCGACACTGTATGATGTCGCGTCGCTGCCTGAGCGCAAGCTAGCTACGCAAGCAATAGCTGCGGCGCGCTATCAAGCGAGTTTGTCGGTGCGAAGACTACTACTTGCATTTCGGCGCATCTGAATTGAACTGGTAGGTACCAGACGCGGTGGCAACGCCACATATTTTCCCCGGAATCTGGACGCAAGCAGAATGTGAGCGCGTGCTTGGTCAACTCGAGGCAACGACGCACGTCACGGGGTGGCACAAGACGCGGCATACGTCGTACCCGACGACGGACCTCCCTAGCTACTGCCTTCCTCTGGGTGAGCACTACTGGGTCCAAGACACCCTGAGGTGAGTGTTTCTACTTCTGACACCGTGTCGTACCAGACTTGACATTCTGGGTGCGTAGCGCGCGGCTTTTTCCGTCGATTCTCTCGCGCTTCCAACTCCCAGCGTCGACGCAGCTCTCCTTTCGCGATCTCTTTTACGTCAAGTACGAGGCGGCACAGGACGCCCAGCGGGACCTTGCGCTGCACTGCGACGGCTCGGTGCTCTCGTTTAATGTGCTTCTCAACAAACGCACCGACTTTGTGGGCGGCGGCACGTTCTTTGCCCCAACGCAGACAACGGTGCCCTTCCTCCCGATCGCCTCGGTTGACGACGGGTGTAGGTTCACATCGAGCAAGGCGACGTCGTGGTGCACAGCGGGCGCGTGGTGCACGGCGCGGCGCCTGTCACCGAGGGCAAGCGCCTCATCCTCGTCGCTTTCCTCAACGTTCGCCCGCCTGCTTGCGCACCGTAGTTCTACCGAGTCGCAACACTTGAAGCACGGAGCCAAAGGGTGCACTGCAGCTCTGTGGCGTCGGAGACGATTAACTCTGCATCGACTACGAGTGCGCGTACTACGGTGATCGGTAGTACTCATGAAAACAACTGGCCCACCTACCCGGGATTCGTGGAGGGCACGGGATCTGTTGTTGAACTGAGTTATATTACATGCAATTATAAAGATATGGTGGACTTCCTAATGCGCTCGTGAGGCCTGGCCAAAAGAAAGCAGTCCGACGGTGTAGCGACTTGTAATCAGGTGTGCCAGCTGGTGGATGCGTCCACGGGAAGAGTCTTGTGGGCGCTTGCGGTCGCGCATGCGTGTTTGAGCAAACAGCGACTGTACCGCTGGAAAGGCGGTCTCAGAAAGGCGGTGATCCTGGATACTGAACGTGCGTTATGTACGTGGACGTCTAAAATCGCTGCCTTCAAGAATGGTGTCGGACCCACGCATTTCTAAGGCTCTGCGCCAAGCCGACTGTATGGAGCCGTGGAATCTTCGCAAGTGTCAAGCTGCCCGCGTGTCTGTACGTCCTTGAGTGAAGTAGCGCGGTCAATAGCCATGACGTATTTAGCACCCACATGCACACATGGACGACGTTCAAGTTGAAGTCGGTGCGGCGACGCTAGGCGGTTTGTTGGATAGCGCGCGACATGAGAGCTTGGCGCTTGGCTTGGTCCTGATTCTGGGGGGCAACCGAGGGGAACGAGCTCCACCGAGAGGTCGAGCGGCGTAAGCATCGGCAAAGTGAGCGGAACCGCTCCCCGAAGACGACATTGGATGTCCCTGCAAGTTGGTATTAGTGTGGGCGACCGGTTGCACCCGTTCGGACACGCATCATGGGTGGCCATCGCCGCCGCACCGGAGAACATGCCCGTCGATGGCTCGAGAAATATAAATTAAATAGTAATATGGTACGCTGCTTCTATCGCTACTTCTATCAAATGCGCGCATCTAGTTGAGGATGAACGAGACGCAGAGGCGGATGTCGAGGGGCGACGTGGCCGCGGCGCGCGCCTGCTGCTCTTCGTGCATCTTGCGCGCCTTGAGGCGCAGATACTTTTCCCGCTGGCGCAAGCGCTCCTTCTCGCGGTTCTCGACGTAGTTGGCACGGAGCTTGGCGAGCACGTGCTCGCGGTGCTCTTCATAGTACTTCTTGGAGCGCGCGCGGTTGCTCTCGAGCTGCTTTTGGCTCACGCAGCGCTGCTTCTTGGCCTGGCAAAGGAGTTCGACCGACGTCGGGTTCGGGTGCTTGCTGCCGGCCATGGTCACGACGTTTGTGTTGTTGGTTGATGCGAACGAGGCAAATTGAAAAGTGACCAAACTGACCCGCGGTGCTAAGCTGGCGCACGTTGAAGTGGTTCGTGAGACGTGGCGAAGAAAAAGGGCGGGCCTTATTTGTAAACACGACTTTGCCGACCCCGTATAGAAAAGTGTATACAAAACCACGAGCCGTGCCACATCGGGTGCCATGCACTGCGTAGAAGGAAACAACGTTCGTCGGTCGTCCAACTGGCATCTGGAATCTGGCGGATTCAAGCCTTGAATCTCA